TTATATCAATCTTTTCTTATCACAAACTATAAGACTGTCTTGGTGTACCTTGGTTTTTCAATTATTTCGCCATGATTAGTATGTTTTGCTGCCGTGCGATTTCATTGTCTTTCTCGACTTTGTAATTACCGACATTCTATGTGTGGGGTATATACATTATGTTTTATCTCAATAAACCTATGCATGGTTTTACATTTTTTTATCGCGCAAAACCTCAAACATTAGTGAAACCACAAACGAAGACCATTAACCAAGTTACAGTTACCTAACCATATAATATATTATTGTACTTAAACTTGTCAGTTGTTCAACTAAAATATAACTCTCCTAATTAAATAACGAGTAAATATTTTGCAATACTGTGACTCACTATATGTTCAATGTAAATATTTGAAGTTGTACCTTCGTCTTTGAATGGATTCATATTTAAAGTAAACGTAAACAATGTTTATAAAATTCGAAGTTATACACGTAAACATAACGGTAGAAATGGTTTAGAAATGTTATTTTCACGTAAATTATTTATTTATAAATTACCTACTGATAAAGGTGGAATAAGTGGACTCGAGGGTTATTCGTATTATGTGGTATTACAATAGTTACGTCAGAAGGGAGTAACGAATGACATTCGGTGCGCGAGCAGCGAACCGGAATCTTCGTGCGGACCCTAACCTTGACGGTGTGCAGGCCGACCGGTTAAATACTACGTTTATAAGGATATGGTCATAGCTCTCCGTAATTAAACTCCAACTGCGCAGGATTAAATTTCTAGAACTTTTTAACGTACTTTTTTCAAAGATATTTGAGATGTTTAAACAAAACCTCCAAGAACTCAACTAGAAATTAAAAATAATATATAAAATTTATTTATATAAATTCTATCCTCACTGAAAAGCAACAACATTAAAATTGTATGATTCAATGAGAAGTAGAATTGCTTTTTAAATTAAATACTACAAGAAATATTACACGTTAACACTAATTATGTATAATTATTTCCTTCTCTGCATTGAACACTGGACACTCAATATACTTATGAATATGTATTATTCCTATATTAAGTAAATTCAATGCCATCCAAGACTTTATAGGTGCAAAGTCAAGTAACAAGAATGGCCGTTTTCTCGGCCTCGAATTTAAGTTATAATAGTTTCCGTAAACATTATTCTTAAAATATTGTATCAAGACGCGTTCCTTATGTGGGCAAATAAATATTTTGCCTATTCCTTTCACATTACCTTTGAAGGTCAACTAGTGATAAAAAGTGCAGCATCTGAAACTGCAAAGTAACGTTTTTTTCGACTGCATTGAAAACAAATTGTTTATATTTTTTTTGGAAACCGAACCTGGGGCTCGTAAAGACATGAACACAAAGACAAACGAAACAGACAAAATAAACTTTTGTCAATCTCGTTTGTTTGGTAGTTAGACCTGCCAGTTGATTAGGAGGTCCCGATTTGCATCCAGGGTCGGTAAAGATTTGTTTGGTATTTCTTTTTTTTCCTGGCGGTATTGGTGAAAGACCGCCAATCGTTAGATGGTGGGTCTAGGATCGAAGACCCTCGTAGGGTATAGAATCGTATTCTCTTGACAATTTTATCACGCGGTTAAAAATCCAATGCTGAGCCAATATCGTCGTTATGTAACGTACATAAAACACAAAATGCGTTGAATTTATCTTGTACAAATTCGGCTGTTTACGTAATTTTGTGGGAACCTCCTGCACTATACCGCGGTATTATCACGGTTGAGAGCGCTTGGTGACACAACGCTGTTTTGCGGTGAATAGATGCTATAGTAATTTTTTTATTAGTTACAATACGAGTTGACAGCAGTTAGCTACTGTATAGAGACGCCTGCATGATAAATAATTTGTTAAAGTCGTTAATGAGGTCAAGTGGTCTCCGGAGGCTGCTAATACGAGCATAATATGAAGGGGCTTTGTTTTTACATGCATTTTAAAATAACAGAACAATCCACTGCGAGCTTCAGCCGGGCAGTGTTTATTTTACGTAAATGAACCCGAAGAAATGGTTATTTAACTAATGCACGATAATCTTTGGTTTTTCTTTTTTTGCACTTTTATGTCTATTAGTCTTATAAAAGTGGAAAGCTATAAACCAAAATGCAAACAGACATGTGTTAGGTTTTTATTTACAGATGAAATTAAAAATCAAAATACGTTTGAAAACTTTAATATTTTTCACATGTTACACATGATGGAACTGTAAAACTTAAAAATCCATTAAAAAAACCTCGGTCCGGGCAGGACTTGAACCGGCATGCATCCACAGCGTTCCGTGCTGATGCTCTAACCAATTGAGCTTAGCTTATCTATAGGACTCGGTAGCTCGGGTCATATTCATTTTTTAATTTATAATCGATTTTTAATCATAAGACAATTTTTGAAGAATTGTATGTAGAAAATAAAACAGACAGTGATTGCCTCTGTGCCTCGTAACCCAACGCATTGTCCAAAGTTTATCCCGGGTAATAAAATATTTTCGGTCGGGCAGGACAGTTTAAGCAACTCTTTGCCTATAGATGAAATCAATCTGTGAGACGTTATATGTGTCCCACAATGTGGCATGGATCACATTATTTGTGTTTAAAAACGTTATTATACCACATAACATGTACGTACATATTTCTTTACACATACTCAAGTAGAACTCGTGAAGCATTAAACATGACTCCGCATTAACTATCCACGTTTTACCATAAATTTGATTATGTTATTACTTATTACACTTTAGGTAAAAAGTCTATCACGTTTTAGCATTCAATTCGTACATTAATTGTAACTTTATATTGTAAATTTTTATAGGTTAGAAATAATTTTATCTACAATCTTTTGGATATAGTTTACTAGTTACTGGATTACATTATGAACAGATTTCTTTTTGTTTTTGTAAACAAAAGTTTGACAGTAAAAAAAGGACAAACTTCGGTTTCATTTTATGAATAGTACAACCTGACCTGGAACACATTTTGCATGAAATGTTGCCTGATGTTAAATGTTTCCTGAGATCAGAGCGCCCAAACAAAAACTCTCTAGCTTTATGATATTAGTATAGATGACAGTGACTATGCACTGTAGCATAATTCCATATCAAATTCCTTTTCACTTATTTTTTTTATTGATTGGTTTTAATTTGTGGTACAGCATACAAAAGAAGTATTTATATAAGCATCCTATGTATTTAAATAAAACACTAACGGTTTAAAACGCAATATATTAGTTAAACTTATTTGAAAATGATTTTTAACTTCGGTCCGACGTTTCGGATGCTTTGCAGCAGCCGTAGTCACGGAGAGACTAAAGATGGAGGATGTCTTTGACGTCAAAGTAAAAATCTGTTCCGTTGAAGTTGGTATTTGGCGAAACTGGCCGGGTCGTTACAGAATTGACTAACGGTGTCTTCGTGTTTGCCGGTATGATGTTTATTGGGATCTAGAGTTTTTAATATGGGGTCCCAGGTGTTTGATAATTTGAGGCCGTCCTCCCTATTGAAATTTCGGTTTTTTTAAATGTGTTTAAACCGTTAGTGTTTTATTTAAATGTGTACTACTCGCGTAAACTATAGACAGTATTTCTTCCTATGTATGTTATCCTGTGCCATAGTCTATTTTATTAATGACTATTCTACATAAGCTATACAACAACAGAACCCACCATACACTCCGCTTTTACGCTCTGCGGATTAACTGAAGACAATATACAGCTACGTGGATCGCTGCCGTTGCTATAACAATACAAATGAAACGATGCTTTGTCTATTGGTGCGGCCATATGAGTTGAGATGTACACTTCATATTAAACATTCAATATTTAGCAGATAAGCCAGCTTTCAAGTACTAAGTTTAGGTGTACTACACCCGCAGACTACATATTGTGTTCTTAATGTCTACTCAATTCACATAAATGTATTCACTAACTTACTAGGCTGAGAAAAGCAATAACACCTAAAACGTTTTTTTCGAGAGGACGAGTGACGTCACATGTCATTTATATTTAGGTTAGGTAGATGAATTGATTTTCTTGTGTAACCAAAATGGGACGAGAAAGCACAAAAATAAAACGAGAACAGTACTTAAGTCGTAAATGTATTTTACTGGTAAAAATTACTTACACTTAACAGAAATTTAGACGCGGACAGGTGCGGTAGCGATTTGGGGTGCTAAAGCGTCGTTAGACAAAGTCTCACAGTGATAGCATCTCCAACTATTGGTACTTGCCACGAGTTCCTCACTGCTCACGCACTCTAGGTGGAACTGAGAAGCACATCTGCTGCATCTGATGGAGGCGCATCCCTCAATAGTCTGCTTGCAATGGGCACAATCCATTTTTGCCGATCAAATAATTTAGACTTTTAAAAATAGTAGCGGCTGCTTTGATATTGATCTTTAACTATTTAGCTAATTAAAAACTCTGTTCCGTCCGAAGTGGCGGTTGAAATTTTCTGTTTCTCAACACTTTACAATTTTTATACAATTTTGATTTATTAAGCGAAGAACCGTTTCGTGATATTTCCAGCCAAAGAATGATCTCGAGAGCAAAAAGTGAACAATACGTAAATCTTATTTTGAAAATATATACTTTAATTATGTGCCTTTGTTTTCGGCCAGTGTTTTTGGGAGATATTTTTTATTTTATTTTTCGTGATATTTATTAATACAGATAATGTATAAAAATTAACGCCCACTTTTTATTATCTTCCTATAAGCATGCTACGGGTAATTAGTACCGGCGGTGACAAAATTTAGAAGCTGCCTAAAAATTATACTAACAATTTTTTGTTCAATTAACATCATAGATACCATAGCGAATTAAGTATTATCTAGAGGAATGAATATTCAAGTTCCTGGCCCTAAATAAAAAAAAACTCAATTGGCATCATGGTTGTCGTGGTGATTTATTACTGTAGATGAGTTTATTCACTTGCCTGCAACTTAAATCGTACTTTACTTACTTTACTTTACTTTTTTTTTACTTACAGACGAGCAAGTGACGGCACGGCTGCTGGGCCCAGGGTTCTCCGGTCGACACCAGATTGGAGCGAAACCGCTATCAGTGGCGAACACCTTTGGTTACCTACCTCAGTATCCGGGGACTGCTGCTACGTCGGAGATTCTGAGTGTCAGGTAAGTTTTGTTGATATTAAGTGGTAACTACGTAGGCATTATCATTTGATAATTTTTTTCATTGATCCACATAATAGTTAATAAGGGAATACGATATTATTCTTAACCAAGTAATAAAACATTCACGTTTCCCAAGTAATGAACTCAGGATCTTACGAGCTTAACGCATTATACATATATTGTTTTCAATATGGTCATAGAGGAAGTTACGAAATGTCTGACACCATTTTTAATAATTCACTTACATCTACAAGGATATTGCTATGAAAAAAGCAAAAAGAAATAATGTATTTCTTTTTGAAATTAATTATTATATTTCTGTCCCCAACTGTTTGATATGGACAGTGGTTTACACTCAAATAAAAGAAAGACACATTCCCCTTATAATGACAAAGATTTGTTCCTAAATTGTAACCGAAGGATTTCGGGATATTACTTCGTTAGAAAATAACTATGAAGAAGGAAAAATATTACTTATCTTTTCTAAAAATACAAATAAATTAAGTGAGAAATGTTCGATGAGATCTGTATGGAAAAGATAAGAAATAAAAAGGTTCTTTCTGAAAAAATGAAACTTGCGGATAGGTTATTTAAAACAATGTTATGAAAAGGTGGAAACTTAAAGTTCTTTGCAAAAACGACTGATATTATCCTGGAGTTTCTTGTTTCTTATAGCCATTATACCATTTTACAAAATAGAACTTTGCGGTTACAAGGTATCTGAGGCAAAATTGTGAGGAATTATAATTTCCTCGGCAACCATTATCGTGTTTCCTATCTATTGTACAGGTGTCCGCGTCGTTTCGTCCGTAGTTGAATGTAAGATTAATGAATCGTTCCCCCCATTAACCAGCAATGACCTGTCAACGTTGGGGTAAACGTACAAAGCAAAACTTTGCTAATTAATTTTTAAAAATTATATAAAACATGAAGATGTGAAATTTAAAAATCGAAAATAAATTGAAAAAAAATTTCGACTCGGGCAGGACTTGAACCGGCATCGTCAGCGTTCCGTGCTGTTGCTGTAACCGATTGAGCTACCGTGTCATTGAGAGATAATTTTGTATGTCTCTATGAGTTAAAATATTGTTTGTATAAACAAATATGTCAAAAATAGGTATATCTAATTTTTATTCCTAAAAATGTACTTGTAGCTCAGCGAATTGAACTAGACATTAATTTGGGTCTATCTATTATATCTACACAGATTATATATTCCGGGAACCTCAATGACTAAACACGTTTCCTAGCATTGCATTAAACATTAAAAGCCCTGAGTTTGAGTCCAGGGGGAACAATATATTGTTTTGGTCGGGCAGAGCACATTAGTCTGATCAACTAGTCGCTTTGTGTGTCCGTTTTAAATTTCTTTGGCGATAAAATATCAAATAGTCGTTTTATCATCAGCGGCGTTGTGTTGTGTAATTTGACTGGCAAATAAAAATACCATAATATTTTGGACTATTATACATATGACACAGCAAGCCTTTTCTCTCAATATACTGAAAAAAAAACACATTAACTTTTCGTGTGTAATTTAAGGAACTTTCTTGCCCGGAAAACAAACGGTAGTATAGTTTAATTACTTCTATCTTTGTTCCCATAGCCAAGTTTGTAATTGAACACTATCAATCCAGAACCCTCATAAATTTTAGCATCCACCGCCTTCGGGTTATGTTACCCTAAACATTTATATCACCTGTTGTACTAAATTCGCGATTGCAAACCAATCTATTCAACAAACAGAGCATTTATTTCACTTTTTTATTTTTAATATCAAATGCATGTATTGATTGCCAAAAAAAGAAAGTTTCATTGTTTCATCTTCAAAAACCACGAATTTCCATACAACTTTTCCCCCCCCCCCTAACCCCCTTTTCGCAACAAAAAGCAAAAGTAGCCTATGCCCTTTCTCAGTCACCATCCTCACCATCTCACCATCTCTATACCAAATTTCATTCAAATCCGTTCAGTAGTTTTGGCGTGAAAGAGTAACAGACAGACAGAGTTACTTCCGCATTTATAATATTAGTTAGGATGTTTAGTGGTATTTTTCGCAACTACACTTTTAAATGAAAATCTTTTAACGGTTTAAAATAAAAAAAATTACTGTTAAACTTGAACTGCTTCAGTATAAACGTTATCATTTATTTCTATTTTTAAAAGTAAATATTCATATTTTATGACTGTTACTGAAAATGTGTTATATACTATATAACCTAAAGTATAATTAAGTAAGTATAATTACTTAAATTTTTATGAACTAATGAAGTAAAAACGTTCAATCACAGGTCCGTTTACTTAATCGGGAAATATTTAGCTAGTCTACCGCTGCGTCGCTACGTTCGAAGAGAAATGCTCCGGAAATTAATATTGAAGAATTTTCTGCTTTAAAATTATTTAATTAAACATCATTTTCCAGAAACTAATTGAAATCGATAAGAAGTAGTTAAACGAATATATTTAGGCAAGGATTTATCAATTGAACAAAATGGAGTCAGCAACATACTGTAAATAATCACCTGCGCCGGACATGTGTAAGAAAATAATCAAATTGAATTTTCTTCACCAGTCCCGGGGCGCGACATTTTAGTTTGTTAGTTAATTTATAGTATGGTATGTAACCATACTATAAATTATCAAATTACCTTTAAATTAATTAGTAGGGTAAAATAGTTAGGTAATTTAGAGTATAGGTATAGGGTATAGTTATATATCGTGAGGGTGATCCGTGGCATATAAAAACTTTTACAAATGTATAAAGAAATAAAGTATAAATAAATATTTTTAAAAAATTACAACAGTTCGAAAAAGCAATTTGCGCTATTTTGACATAGACAATTGCTAAAGTATTCAATAATAAGACATTCCAATATACTTTTAAAACCTTCGCCATTATTTTAATTATTCTTCCTTTAATGCTTCCTGCTCTGTATTTATGCGATATTTGAGCCCATCTCCCGATACTTTTCGACTTTCGACGGTAAGATTTTTGTGCACCATCAATAACAAAATACTCCGCTCCAGTTTCCATTTAGGACACCTTAAATAGGAAGGGATGCTTAAGTAGGGATAACAATAACTCATGAATGCTGGAATATTTTCCCGGTGAATAAAGGCGTTAAAGATTAAGCATGTGACACACATTTTTTATGGCCGATTGGATGTGTTTCCAGAGGGGTGAACTTTAACCAGTTAATTCCGGACGCATAAATACAAAATATATACTGGATCGCAATGCGAAACATGAGACAGCACGAAAGTGCTATTTTGATGCAGGGTTTTGTGAACATGTCGATTCTAGGTCTGAAATCTATACGTTAAATGCGTGGTTATATGAAATGAAATGAAGTGGCAATATGAAAATTTAACTCATCAATAGAAAGTTGTATAATCTCGTTTCTGCTTTAGTCTCTGACTTTTCGAATGTTCAAAGCCAAAAAGTACGCAGATTATCTCAATGAGTTGTTATAGGGTTGTTATGCTTTTGTCCGAGCCCAAAGCTTCTTTTTTAAATCGAACCTCAAACACACGTTTTCTCAGAATACATGGTACTTAGTTGAGTTAACAATAATTATATAGAATAATAAATTTAAATAGAATAGATGAAGCGCAGGTGCATAGTTGATTATAACAAGAAAACGCATTAATACTTTTGTAGCTCCATCAATTATTATAATAGCGTATCTCATTTTCCATGCGGAAGTTGTCTCAATTGACTATTCTCTCGAGACAAGAAGTTGTATACCCGGCTTAACTTGCATCGTTACCTCAGGCTCATGGATGGTTTAGTGTCTTAATGTTACGATAACATAGGAAAGTAATATCTAATAAAGAAAATAACAGCTACAATATGTTTTAATAGAAATAATATAGTCACTTTTGTATTATTTATAATGTATGGGGAAATGGGTGAAATGGTCAGCGGACAACGTGGACTGATCACCCGTCCTGCCGAGGGTGTCCCCGATAGAAAATAATAATAATTATTATTTATAATATACCTACCCTCAATGTTTTACCGTATACTTAATATTATTAAAACCAATTTAATATAAAAAAAAACAGACTGCATAAACTAAATGAAAAGAAAATAGTGAATACTGTCTATAGTTTACGCGAGTAGTAAACATTTAAATAAATCACTTTAACGGTTTAAAACGCGATATATTAGTTAAACTCATATATTAAACAGTTTAACTAATATATCCCGTTTTAAACCGTTAAAGTGTTCTATTTAAAAGAAAATATCATATGCAGCCGATACTTAATGTATACAATAAAATACCTGATCTTCTCTCTTTCCTTTCTTTTCTCTTATTCATAAATTTACTTTTATGTTCTAATCTTAATTTTGTGTGTATTTTTAGTCGTTTCCATGTTGTATCTAACACTGCTCCCACCTCACGCGTTATTTTATTTTAATCTTCTTTATTAAAAAGTGTTTCTAGGTATAAATTTAATCTACCATAATGTAAATTAAAGCTATCTTTCGTTCTAATCTTAGGTTATGATAATTGTCAACAGAAACATGGCGCACGTATGAAATGTTCGGCCTGCAAAATAATCGCACACACGGCTTGCATCGACATTCTTATAGACCGAGTGCAATTCACTTGCAAGCCGACCTTCAGGGATGTCGGCGTCCGACAATACAGAGAACAAACTATAACACACCACCACTGGGTTCACAGGCGCTCCGAGAAAGGAAAATGCAAGGCATGCGGCAAGGTAATCAAATTCATAAGCTTCCTACGTTTGCTATTTTTTGTTGCACTTGAGCTCCCAAAAGTGTGCTTTATTTTGTGTTTCATTAACTTGTTTAATTCGGGTGATTTGGTCGCATAATGTAATGTTTATAAGCGGGCTTTCAATGAAAAATTCCAATGACAAAACCATCGATTTTCACCGAATTAACTGACCCATAACATTTCGGTCACAGTTCCGAGATAAACTAGCATCTGGATTACTAGCGGACTTGGAGTAAAATTCTGTTGAAAATATTTTTAGTGCTTTCTGTGCGAACGTATACCTAATAGGTTTATTACTTTACTAAAGTAGTTAGAACTTAACTGAAGAGCAACGTTATCGTATATGAGGCTAAAAGTTTGCGGTCTGATAAGAGGCGACTTTGTTTGTAACGTGTTACGTGTCCCAAAGGTAACGCGATAAAACTTAAACTCGTTGGCGTCACGTCAAGTCAGTTTAACAGCTTAAAACTCTTTACAGCGCTAACAAATTCCGAAAGATTACTGAGCAACATATTAACGTAGGCCATGGGCCATCTTTTACCACAAGATCATAAGTATGAGTATCAAACTTAATCTAATTTAATTATTGATTGTTTGCTTCCCACAAAGATAAAAGAACTCGATCACAAAAAACGTTTACATAACTACTACCAGTTACAAAAACTATTATATTTTGATAATACAAAGGTACTAACTCACTAACTTTATTTTACTTTATTTAAGTTATGTGTGTAGTTTACGCGATAAGTACACATTTAAATAAAACACTTTTTATTCGAATATGTATGATATTGGAATAAAAAGTGTAATGTATTTATTCGAATAAGTAAGATATTCAAATAAAAAAATGATGTTTGCACATATATTATTATTGTATATGTGCAAACATCAAAACATTAATGATATTAATTTAAGAGAAGGTATAATATAAATAGGTACCCACTACTATTTACCTTTACAAGGTTGTAAATAGGGAAGGAAAAGTTGGAGAATTTAATTAAGTATAAAATCGTTCCAAGTTACTGAAAATACAAACTTTCTGATTTATTACTTTGCTTTTACCGCGTCTGATGTAGGTTTTATACAGAGTTTTAGAGATATATTCTATTTCGTAATATTTTTCATATATCGCGTATTGTAAATGTGTTTTCACAAACTTGACGCTGAAACCATGACTGAATAAGTATCTGTACGTTACGCAAATGTCGTGCGCATGTCTGCTCAAATCTAACGTGATAGAAAGTATAATACGAAATGAAAGAAATATAAAACAATACGAAGTGTCAGTCACTGTATTTAATGGCCGATTTGGGGCGTATGAATATTGATCACAGGTAGTTCGTTCAAGCCATGTCGCAGACAAAGCTGAACTAATAATCCAGCCTGGTGGGTGTTGCTTTCACGTGGATAATTATCTCGTAAATGTTCTACAGTTGACCTACCATCTGATCTTTATTCATAAAGCGTCTCCCAACCTCATTTGTTCGGCGCCTCCAGTAAGCCTAACTTAACTGCACGCAAATGGAATTCACGTATCGTTAGCAACATTTGTTAAAGCTCATCTAAGAAGAATTTTGGTAGTAAAAATCAGAATTGTCCTTTGACCCATATATACATAGTTCTAAGTCTGGTCAATTATAGATAGTAAACTGTAGACAATCGATAGAGAGGCGTGACGCAAAAGTTTTCTACGAAGAAGTCTTAAGTTTCACGTATATATTAAATAGTGCAGGAAGGAAGCATGCAAAAATACATGCAATAAATAAAAACAATACACACTCAAATATTTAAAAATATTTGACACAAGCACGCCTACTCTCTTTTGTTTTGTTCGAATTAGTGGTTAATTTGACAATATTGCCTTACCTCCTTTTACTTCAGACTACTTTTTACACAACCCTACAAGTAATACTAACGACCGACAGCTTACAGTCACTAGACTTATTACTAAAATTGAAAAATCAAAAAGCGGTCTGCTAAGTCGGCTAGATTACTTGAAGCCCAAGAAAATTTTAATCGGCCGATACTTTATCGCTTTAGTTGTGACTGTGTACCCATTTCAATGCCTTACAAGTCCTAACGGAAAGACCAAGGGTTGACCGATAAACATATAGACTATATCAATAAATTGATCACGATTAGTAAATATGGTTTAGTCAAATCACATTGGATAGAGTTGCAAGAATATCGATTCCAGTTTACTACGATCGATCACTCAAGTCTCAATAGTAAACAATGTAGCTAAAGCTATTAGTATCATTATGACGTTACTGTACACAGTGCACACGTCATGTGTGCCTCCTACGTTTTCGTATGTAAATAATATACGATTAGCACGTGTACAAGCATCATGCTTACGACATTATCTTCGTGTCCCTCGGCTGAAATGAATCTTCATTTTTAATGACGTGCACCCATGACATTCAAAGTGCAGCTAATATTTGCTATGGATTATTTATTGGTCGTAGCTGCTACAGTTTATATATTTCGACTATTTTCCGTTATCCGTTTGCCTTTTGAGATTTCACTTCAAGCCGGATGCTAATTTATTCAGTTACGAATGAACGGGATAATATTTTCATTTCTCGCAGAGTCTTATCCATCGGACCACAGAGTCCGAATGTTGGGTTCTATATAACAAATGCTATTTTAGGTTTTTTTGTTCGATCTTTGAAAAATATATGTGCACCGCTTTATAAATATTTGTAAGCATTTATAACAATATTGTTATTTCCTCTATATTTGATTTTATCTATTTATTTTTTGTTTGTTTGCATGTGTGTTGCATGGTTGTTTTGTTGTCACAGTCTTTACGGCGTGGTTGCTGTGGGTGGTGCGTTTCCTCGCATAAATCCGCAGAAAAGCCAGTAGAAGTAAACAATGAACTAGGAGATCCTGTGCGTATAATTGCTACAAGCCAGGCTATTCACATTTTGAGTTGCTTGTAGTAAAATTATTATTTAATACTGAAATTAAAATCGAACAAAAAATATATGTAATCCTATGTATATTCTCTTACAGTCACTTCAAGCGAAAATATCATTTAGTTCAAAAGAAATCGTTGCCTTGAGTTGCTCATGGTGCAAGGACGCATACCATAACAAAGAGAGTTGTTTCAATTTGCAAAGAATAGGAGAAGAATGTTCATTAGGTATGCATGGCGGAAGACATTTTTGATGTTTATTACCTTTGAGCTAATTGGACTAATAATACGATACATTTCAAGGTACGCAGTCAAATATAATCGTGCCACCGTCATGGATTGTAAAGCTTCCAAGACGGGGCAGCTTCAAATCGTCTTTAAGGAAATCGCCGAAAAAGAAAAGCGCCGGAAAAAAGAAAGGAAAGGATTCGAAAGTGGAACAAAAGCCGTTCGTAATAAAACCAATACCGACGTCAAACGTTAAGCCCGTCCTCGTTTTCATTAACCCGAAAAGCGGAGGCAATCAAGGTGTAAAGTTGTTGCAGAAATTTCAATGGCTTTTAAATCCACGACAAGTTTTCGACCTTACTCAAGGTGGACCGGGACCGGGGTAAATATACTACTTCCTACTAAATATTAAAAATACGAAATTATATAAGTTTGTATGAATGTTACATTTTAGCCTAAAACAACACCCATATATAACAATATTTTATATTTGGGAATAAAATTAATAAAAATATCATAAATTCTTATTTTTACATACTTAGTGTTCACTCCAACATCTAATACACGTTTCTACATTATAAGACATCTTTAGTTGTAGTTTACTTCTATAGAATTCTAAGCTGGATCAGGATCTGATTAATAGAGATTGCTCCGATTATATCTTCCTAGAATCGTGTGAATTATCCTCGTTTGCTTTAGAACACAATACAGCCGTAGTTATATCTTGTTACAGCAATTAATTAGGAATATACTGACGATCACTGTGCGATCTAACAACACCTACAGTGCAAATACCTTACATTTTAATTCATGACATTGTATGTAAATAATGTAGAATAACAATAGGTAGAATGGCTCCACATTTTTGCACCTTTGTCTACTTAGGCACTCAATAAAAATGCTACCAGCTATGAAATTATTTTCATTCCAGTTGAAATCAATTCGCTTCGTCTAAAACATTTCGTTCTGCTAGAATATTCTAAAACAATTTAGCAAAATATTTACATGCCCCAATTAATGTGTTGAACAATGTTGAATGTTGAATAAAAACCTTTGATATGTATTTTGGGAGAAAACGATACTTTAATATTGACAATATTTAATTGAAATTGCTGAAAAGTTTACGGAGAAATTTTAAATTCGGTCGACGCTGAAACAGCAGTTCCGTATATTTGGGGTTACATGTGTTAGTTTCACGTCCCTTAGACTAACACATGCTAGCACTAACAAACTTAGCTGGCAAAATCGCTAGTTCCTAGATGCTTCACTCTGCCGGCTTTCAGCGTTAATACGAGGACCCTTTGATCCCTTGCCTTACAATACCCTCGAAACTGGGAATCGACACGCTGCATTTAATACCCTGTTCGCAGTTAATACATTAAAAAGTTTGATGTTACCATACTAGGAATATCTTTCTTATATAAAATTAACTGATTGTTTGTACATGGTTTACAGCTAACTTTAATTCTCTTTTCAACAATACTTATCTAGCGAATACTTTTTTCATGCTTCCGATGATGATCTATCTGAGTGTGTGAAAGAAAAAAGAATAAGAAGAATCCACTCCTATGTGGGAAGTGTATTTTGTCTTATGCAAAAAAAATATTTTTAATTACATTGCAGATTAGAGATGTTTCGTAAGGTGCCGAATTTACGTGTTCTGGCGTGTGGTGGGGACGGAACCGTCGGTTGGGTGTTGAGTGTGCTGGATCGTATTGGGGCACGACCGGCTGTTGGGGTTCTACCACTCGGCACAGGAAACGATCTTGCCAGAGCCTTAGGATGGGGCGGGGTAAGCTAGTAAACATATTTATAATTAAATACTATGATATATAAATGAAAAACATAGCATAAGGTTGTTAAGCAGTAAATACGAGTATAATTCAAATATTTTAACAAAAAAAGACCAACCGTAATCAACCTCGCTGTCTACTTTTTATCATCTAAAATTATATATATAACAACAATTAAACAAAGTATTACAATGAATTTTAATTAACACTATTAGATGTGTGAATATTTTAACTAAGGGATTTAAACAAAAATATCCAATAATTTTTTGCCTTATAATACGAATAATTACGAAAAACGGTTATTCTCGAAGTTTACATTGGATCGTCTTTTAAGATACAAAAGATAAAATAAAGCCTTAAATTATTGAACCATTTGTTTTCTTAAATTTGGTAAATAAAATAATTATATTTTCTTGGTCTATTTTAGCTGTGCTAGCGACTTTCGCGAGAATCATTATTTCGGGCATCCGAATTCGTTTTTGCAAACCCCACCTTTTTACCACCACGTCTTTATTAACTTAAGCTGTTACCCACGACGTCGGTCGGCCTTGATAGTTAATCTTAAAAGATAGACATATAGCGTCTTAGACTTTTTTTGGATCATTTCAAGAGGAATTATTATTTTATACATATTTCTAGTTATCTTCAACCGTTTTTGCAGCCTACACCTCGGAAACCCATAACGATAAATAATTTTCTAACCAATTTATAACCTACTGCCTTCCTCGATTATTGCTCTAACCCACACAATAATATTTTTTAAAAATTCGAACCTGTAGTTCCTGAGATTAGCGCGTTCAAACAAACAAACTCTTAAGCTTTATATATTAGAATAGATATGAGGTATCGATCAAGATCTATAAATTGATTATACTAACTATAAAGATTACTTGGAACGCCAGACGAAGCATATAACAATATTAGTATAGAAATCGAACAAGATAAGTTCATTCAAACCTAATTTAAAACGGTCGCAGCTATTTCGCCTGACGGCTTCACCCTTGTCAGTATCAATATTGCCATTCACAGATTTTCTCGTACAACATTATTCGTACATAAAAGAAAAATCTCCCGTACTAGCGCTTAGGGCGAAGGTAGCGCCATTCGGGATTTCACGAATTCCACTGTAAAGGTTGATATTTGCATAATTAGCTTTACTTTACGTCTCATTTAATAAAGAGAGCCCTTTCAAAAAGGATTGTAAAAACGCTGGGGATTTCAATATGTCATAATTATAACTACGATAATATTGTCGTGATACTTTTTTAAAGTAAAGTTACATTTTATATGAGGCTTATGTTAAATGTTATGAAAGAGTTAATAACACCTTTTTGTTGAATTGATTTTCATAAAGGACTCCAAATGGATATCAATAAAAATATATTTATTCTATAATTTATTTTCTAATTTTTGACAATACGTTTTCCACAGGGTTATGAAGACGAGCCAATATCGAAAATTTTAGCGCATATTGGCGAAAGCGATACAGTACTTTTAGATAGATGGCAATTGACAGTTGAACCGAACACAGCGGCCTCAGGCGAGGACACAAGCAACGCAAAAGCCGACCTCCCCCTAAACGTAGTTAACAACTATTTTTCTTTCGGTGTCGACGCTCACATTGCTCTCGAATTTCACGAAGCCCGAGGTAACAAGATATCCAAAATGAATTAGAGAGTTTATTTTTGTTATCCGTGGGCAAAATCTCATAATCTATTAACCGTTTTGGCCCTTATGTTAAATTTAATAACGATTTTTATGAAGCACGAAATCACTTTTTGATCTCTACGTAATAAAAATGAAATATCTTCTATAGGCGGCCCTCTGAAAACAAATTGAGTTGTTTTGACTCGTAGCACTTATTTATTCAAGACGCATGCGGTATGTTGTCACTAATGGCGTTATCTTTTTCAGGACCATGCTCGGAATAAAATATATCGTTGGCTTAAATTGCTTGTTCTTACGGAAGGTTAATCTGCCTTGTTCATTTTCAGAGGCGCATCCAGAGAAGTTTAACTCGCGCATACGAAATAAGCTATTCTACGGTACGGCGGGAGGTAAAGATCTCATGCAGAGGAAATGGAAGGGTTTAGCTGAATTCGTTACTTTAGAATGCGATGGTAAAGATCTTACACCGGTATTGAGGGAGCATAGAGTACATGCCATCGTCTTTTTAAACATTCCAAGGTAGATTATCTTTATAAGTGTTATCTTGTAAACTTTTGTATTTTTTAAATTGTGTTCTTCTCTTTGGTCAGTTATGGAGGCGGAACGCACCCTTGGAATAAGTCAATGGGAGCCTCCGAGCCGTCCACAGAAGACGGATTGATAGAAGTTGTCGGATTAACCACATATCAATTGGTTTGTATTCTTTTGTAGTCTGGTCTTTTTAATAATAATCAACGTTAGCAAACGCAACGTTCATTCCGTACAAATTTGTGCTAGCAAATTTTAAGCTTACTTCGTTAAAATCATTTATTGATTATAGTTTATTTTTGAATAAATATTACATGTGTCTCTCGCCGAAAATAGATAATGTACAGATTGACGCCATAACGCGTTACAAAACGAAGTGGTTTATTCTCGTATAAGTTAACGAAATAAGATTAAGTATTTAGATGATAAATAAGCATTTAACCATAAAAAGTACTGTACACTACAGACTACAACGTGAATACTCTTAGTGTCTAAGCTGGCCAACTAATTAACTATACGTATTATTGCCACGTGGGAAAGAAGCCCCTTAATATGTACGTATTAAGTCAGGGCCGAGCAGTTTTTCCGACTGCAATACTATTTTATTACAGCCTTTACTACAAGCGGGCGGTCACGGGACATGCATCACTCAGTGCAAGACGGCAAAATTAGTGACGACTAAAGTGATACCAATGCAAGTGGATGGAGAGGCGTGCAGGCTCGCGCCCTCCGTGATTACCTTGTCCATACTCAATCAAGCTATTATGCTCGCCAAGAAGAAGCCTGGGAGGGTGCTGGCGCCGTAAGTAGAAAATTGTTTTTTCGCAAAGATCTCTGAAGAGATTATGCGAAGTTTTAAGGAAAGGTTTATACATAATTGCAACGTCGTAACGTTTAATTCATCAAAATTAATAGTTCCTTATGTCATCGTTATTGTATTGCATCTATTCATTGATGATAATACAAATAAATCTCTGAGGTTTTTGAATTTCATATTTTTTTTTGCATAACAACAGTCTAAATTGCTGTAATTATAAACCGAAGTAAACTATGTAATTATAAGCAGGGTAGGTTAGCAGGTTGTTAATAGCTAGGTGAGTTCCTTACCACCTGGATCGATATCGGACGTTGGTCAACAGACGTTTGGCCTTTGTTGGAAAAAAAATTAATCATACTGTTTAAATAAAACACTTTAACGGTTTAAAACGCGATATATTAGTTAAACTTATTTGAAAATGATTTTTAACTTCGGCCCGACGTTTCGGATGCTTTGCAGCAGCCGAGACCACGGCTTTTAACTAATATATCGCGTTTTAAACCGTTAAAGTATTTTATTTAAATGTCTACTGCTCGCGTAAACTATAGACAGTATTTAGACATACTGTTACAAGTTTCCTTTTTATTAATTTTATATACGCACGGTTTGTAATCGTTTTTTCGTTTGTAATAATCGTTTGCATTCTTTCTTGTTCAACTTAATTATTGTTCTCTCACAGCTTAACAACGTTGGATAAACTAACATTTACCGTGAATCTCATAACTATGGCTGATTACGAGCGACATCACTACGACAAAGAATTGCTGGCGAAAGCAGGTAAATCACTTTATTTACCTCACAATTACTGCCACATATTTAGAGTAAACTTACGACTATATTTGTTACCTCCAATTTAAATGTAATTTGTAAAAATATAATAAGATATATTTCACAAAAAAATGTATATTTAAAGAGAATTTTCGACTGTCCGTTAAGTCCGAGAGTAAAATATCTGTCCGTTTTAATCAAAATTCTAAATCTATTAATTACGCTATGCAATATTTTTTCACTGGCTATAATTCTCATATTATAATTGTATTACAATTATTTTATATTCAATATTAAATTCAACGTAGAAAATATAATGTCTAATAGTTTTATAAGTTTTACAACTCAAAGAAGTCGACATACGTGTAAAAAGTTGATCGTACTAACCTAGTTGTCTGTTTATACAGTCTTTATCATTATAAAGTAGAATAAATAACTAAGTTTTGCAATAATAAAGCTACACACAACATCAAAGGTTTTGTGGCAAACGTGCCGGGAAACTTTACCATCAGAATACATTAGATGAATAAATAAATACTTCATAGCAACTCGAGAAAGATATCCGTACATTAACTATTGTAACTACTGTTATTGAGATTTAGTATTTATTAGCTTAATACATATGAAATATTATTAGTTTATATTTCGTATTCTAGTTGATAATCGGTGTATGTTAAACAGGTACGTTTAACAAGTATAAACGTATATATAGTTTCCCGCCTTCTTAATATAATGTCAAATGTCAATGTCAAGTTTAAAATGACATTTTGCCCTTTTGAATATTAAAAAAGATCACGACAAAAGCTTGCTTGCACATTTTTAACTTACTACTGTAATATATTTTTCTGATTTTTTAAATTATTTTTCTTTAGGTTATTCTGAAAGTCCTAAATATAGATTAGGTCATGTATTAAATTATTTTAGCAGTTTCTTGATTTATAAAACTCTATGTTAAGTCAAATTTTAGACCAATTAGTGCTTATATAAATTTCAGTGAGCTATCGAAAGCCGAGAAATTATATTATCAGTACAAACGAGTTGGAAAGTTTTGGCTTTTAATTAATAAACATTAAAATTTATGAATAAACATTAATACCTACAATTATTGCGTTATCAAATATCAGGTATATTTTACATTTATTCAACACCATCACGAAATATAATTTCATTTCAATATCATGAATTTAAAGAGCTTATGTAAAAACTTTTCAGAATCCGAGATCTTACGCAGAGAATTTCTTATTCACTTCACTAAATTAATTTGATTTTAATTTTAAATTGAAATGCGGAAACTCATCGCTCTGCAGCTGTGAATAAGCTGTTGAATAGAGATCTTTCCAGAAAAATAAAAAGTAATTGACTGTGTTGGGCTGTACAAATAGAGGCGAGATTAGAGCGACTAACTTTAAGTATTCAGCAGTAAGCCTTCCAGCACTTCATTGACAAAAGAAAAAGTCCTGTGTTTAATTATAAAACTTTATCTTATATTTTATAGCCTCCATATATATATTTTTATTCATTGTGCTTCTTGAAAATTCTATTTATTAGCGACCTTATTTTAGTTAACTTCGATGTATTGATTGTGGTATTGCTAAAGCATGAAGGGGTCTATTCTACGACTAGTACGCGAGTTCCACTTAGATACTTATTTTTCATAAATTTTCTAAGCGCTTGCGCATTTTTTTTAGAAACTTTTAAAATATCAAACGAAACTACTTTATTTTAGGTCTTTAACAATTTAATTTTTACTTTCGTGTTCTTTACCTTCACTTAACACTCTCTAATAGAGATGAATTCAGAAATGTACTACGCTATATTATATACGTCATACTGTAAATCAGCTTTAGGTTTCAACTCAAACAGCGGACTCGGCTTTGTTTTATTTGTACATATATTCTTAATCTGTTCCTTTTTTACCACATTACAAGTAATTATTGCCGCGTAGCCCCAAACCCTATAAGCCCTCATTATAAATGTTCAAACGCTCCGACGCCTTTGATGACAAGAAAATTGTTTCAGCGGAACGCATTGGCACCTTGGAAGTGAACCCCGCGACAGATCTAGAACAAATGCGAAACCTCGTTCAGAACTTGATCAAAGAATCTCAAGCTTACTCGAATATTGTCGATTGGTGGTTTGTCGATTGTAAGTCCCCAATTATTTCCATCTCGCATTACCATTTATAACCTTATTGTTTGTATGCACACTGTGATAAACACAATGTGTACTCGAAACTCGTAGGAACAAAAGGCGTAATCAAATAATGCTTTCATTATAACGAAACGCAATCATTAAGAACAATGTGACGTGTATATATGTACTTACTATGTATGTATAGAATATGAGCTAATTTTACGTGTACAATTGTGGCAACTTAATTATTAGAAAATGTACTGTGGCTAAAGCCCATTTAACAATGTCAAAAAAACGTATTGAGTTCACATATTAAATCATTATTAGACCCCATTTATTTTTCTTCCGAATTAGTTATCGTTTCGTTTTTTTTTTTACTTGGCTAAGACTTTTGTATTATTTTAAATGACAACCGATTGCTTTCTTAGTGCATATGACTTGGTATTAATCGGGGATACGATTACAGCTGTGACAGCAGAACGATTTTTCCGAATCGACAAAGCTCAAGAAAATCTCCACTATCCCATGGACATCGGTCATGAAAATCTCTATATTTTGGATGCGGCGCCTCTCACACCGGACACTGACACAACGGCTCATCCAGAGACAACTGCGACAGCTTCTCTGGACCGGACAGGGCCATCGGTATCCCTAGAGACAACTACGGGGCTCTCTGTGTCTCTAGATATATCACAAAGCGTAGACACTCCAAGTGCAGCTGTCTCGCTAGACGTCCCGGAGTCGCATGGAAGGTAGGGTGTGGACTGTAAAGGAAGCCAGGTCTTGCTAAGCTAGTCATTTTGGACTCCCTATATAACAGTGAACTTTCGTTTGCTAATGTTCAATCCTATTTGTTCAATTGTTTATACATCGGATATAGATTATTTTTTTCATACAGTTAATATTATGCAAGGATTCTTATATGGCAATTTCCTATCTAAGTACTTCCGAGGTAACATTAGGTTCTACTTTTAATCTAAATATTATATAGATATTTTAATTATTGTAGGGTAATCTATTACTAATAATTTTACTAATAAATAAATTAATTTTAAATTCTGTGAGATGTTAATTGAATGATGATAAATACTAGATAGGATTAAAAAGAATCGGTAAAAAATACGATTTATTTGTAAAATCGCAAACATTGAATAGTCGGCTTTGACAGCCCCGGTCGGACGTCCGATGAGGTAGTGACGCCGCAGACGCCGCCGTCAGCGGCGACCACAGCCACGCCCACGTCCAAATCGTCTCTATCACCCAAGCTGACTGTCCCGAAACATAAGACGTCACAAGAGTCCAACTCCCCGCCCTTATGCACGAGTCCAACAACCAAAGACAACGAACCGTCCCAAGAGTCGATAGCCAGATTCAAAACGTGAGTGAGAACGCCTATTTAAGCATCGTATACATAATTAATGGATAGATCACGAACCATGATACTTCAATACCTTAATTTTAATGTTGTATTTATTTAAAACGTTAGTAATATTATATGCAATGACTATATATTATTGTTTTGATCTCTATGGATTGAGTATGTATAGAATTTCTCAGCTATTATTTATTTACGAATAATCACAAATCTGAACTGATAACGTCCGATATCTCGTAGCTTACGAGGGCACGTATTTCGCAGAGGATATGCTTAATAATTTAGAAGTGTCACGCACCCGTGTCAAAATATGTCTTCCCTTAAAACCCTTGCGAGAATGTAGCGTCGCCATTTAAAGTTTAGTAGATTGTTTTTAGTTATTCCGGCAATAAATAATGTACGACGTCAATAGAAAAATCCTGCATCAGAAATGTATTCTTATACCTAACTCTTCATATAGTAGATATAGACTTAGAATGACATTGGTGTACAAAACCAGTACTAGAAATAGTTTCTTTATATGTGCAAAGTCATATAAACAAAGTATTTTAATTTAATATACGCTAGGCATTTATTATATTATAATATATTTAATCTTTACTATCTCCTGCACATATTTATTCCAACTTCAGCACTTTTGTTTATGTTTAATTTGCACCTTCTTCTTCCACCGCATGCAGCATACATCAAAAGTTATTTGGATTTGAACAAGAAGCGTTTGGCTGTAGGTGAGATTATAATTATGATGTCACTGTTATATAGAAAAGATTTGTACCACGCAGTCCTCGTTTAAACTACTTTTGTACTATATAAGTAATAAAAAAATAAATACTTGACTACAACAATCATTTTGATTTAATACTGAAGCCGCACTGGCTATCGTTTATTATTCTTATATCAGAGCTAAAGCAGATAAGTAAATCGAATAGCTTTTTCAATAAAAGTGTTTCGATGTATTATTACAAGTCTGGGTACATTTCTTTCGTAGCGTAGTGTCTATTAGTATCCTATTATGTAAATACATTAGACATTATTTAGATTTGAAGTACAATTATTACAACAAGTTTCGGTGGCTCAAACAACAGATGAAACGTGAATATTGTTTCAGAAATCTATTGGAAAAAACATCCGACTCGCTGCTCAAAGCTGCGAAAGTCGGCGACTTGAAAATGGTTCGTATAATAATATTCTCGTTTACCTTCGCATGCTTTCATATTTCTTACATAAATTCACTGTCTGTTCGTAGATCAAAGAACTACACGCCGCCGGTTATTCCTTGTTGTCGATCGACGCTACGGGACAGACTGCGTTGCATATAGCGGCTCGCTACGGCAATAAAGAGATAGTCAAATATTTGATAGCGTGCGCTCCGACGGCAATTTTGAACATGAGTGATAACGAGAAGGGGCAGACTGCCCTTCATAAAGCGGCGGCTTATAAGCGGCGAGCGATATGCTGTATGCTGGTAGCTGGCGGTGCTTCTCTGACGAGGCAGGACAACGCTGGACTAACTCCCAGGCACCTCGCATTACGGGCTGATGACCACGATCTTGCCGCTTATTTGGAAAGTAAGTTTCCTGCGATGTGTAGCCTAAAATATAAATATAGTATCTTTTATATTCAAAAAACTTAACTACCCACGTAAAAGCAAAAAGCAGTAAGGCGAACCATAATATTGCACCATGAGACTCTGTCCTTAGAACTGACACTCGATTTTCTTTACAGGTCAGGAGCATTTTCAATTAGTATCGGAAGACGTGGAAACAACGGTGTAAAAATTAATCGAATTATGTAAATACTACTATCGTCTAAATGTATCTATAGACTTACACCAGACTACACCAGCATTAAATTATTAAGATATTAGAGTAATTTAACTTACTTTTATTATATTCCAAAACGAGTAAAATTATAAGACTTTTACTGAGCTTATAAATCTAATGATATTATAATAATTGTCTCGTTCACATATCCTTTAGATCTGTCTACTGTCTTTAATAAAAATAAAATTTTATTATAGTATTTGTGATACTTTCCTGATAGTTCATACCGTAGCTTGTGTCTGTCTATAAAAGAAATCTCACCGGAGACCAGTGATATTTCGAAAGGTGGTGTTAACATAACGTTAGGTTCATATAACAGTATTTTAGGTGTAGATACGTAACCGAAGCGTTTTGATCGATTCGGAACAAAGTCTACAAGTTCTGTAACGACGGTATATATCAACTTGTGAAAAGACAACTATAAAAGAACCCGAATTTTATACTTCTATCCAAAACAGTTTACATCATACAACACTTTAGTCTGTTTTAAAAATATTAATACCGATTCTCATAGATACCCTAGAATAACCACTTGTAATAAAAAAAAACTGATTATGTATGTAAATTCAAAGATTGTCAATATCAATATTATAAACTTAAGATAATAGAAGCTCTTATCAAATTATATTAATTATATATTAATCAAAGGGCGTGGTATTTAGCATGATTATTCCTATCCACATAAGTTGCCTTTGATCTTAATTCTAAACTAAAATGTGACAGCTAAGAAAAACTACTAGTCTATAAGTATTAATTGAATTGAGTTTTAAGTAGGCATTTCATATGGCATGGGCTAAATCTGGTTGTGTTGAAACTCTTTTTGTTAAATAAGTATTTGTAGAAGTAATTTATTGCTCTAGTTATTTAATTCTGTTGATTGTTATTTATTTTGCTAGGAAGTAATAGCTTTGCAAACTGTTGTATTTTTGTAGATGGCAGGTACATATATAGATCAAAATAGCGTATGTCATGTCTGTTGACTAGCAATAATGGATAGTTTATTAATTTACTTTGTTGACACGGTATTTTGTTAGGATGATCTCAGATTCCTCGCTTAATTAGTTTATGTAGGCAATATCACCTTGAATAACAATATTTATTAGATTTATAGTATGGTAACACATTTATATTATTAATATTCAAATCTAACTAATTACTATGTATTCAAATAACTATTAATGAAAGTTTGATTCATAAGGTGACAAACGAACTGGGCATAATTAAAATAGCATTCAAAAGGCCCATACATTCAAAATACCTTAATATTTTCAGTGTTAAATTGCTAACTACTTGCCTTGGAACATTATCTACTTGGTGTTACTTTCGAAGAGGTAAGAATTTCTGGAAGTGATTTTTGTATAAATTTGTATTATTTTGTTTCGGCTGTAATAATTACCTCTACGCATAGAATATAAGTGTACACAGTTATTGTTAGTATAAAGGAATTTATTCTTACTTGTTAATTTATCGCTAAGAAGCGACAATGAAAGACAAAGCTGTGAGAATTTTGATCATAAGAAAAAAACGTAGTTGGTTCATTTTATTGTAGGCTCGGTGTGTGTGCAAAATTTTAATCTAATCGTTATTTTGTGTATGTAGATCTAAAAGCATTCATGAAGGACGAATTTGTATTTTTTTTTCAAATACGAGGCATCTTTGTTATTTTCATCAATTGTTTTCATACGTAACATACAGCTCTTTAGTGGATTTTGGACGTAGCGAAAATTTTATCTCTCTTCTCTGCAGTACATTTTTTATTTATTCTGTTACTCTCTAAAAAATACAAAGGTACCACTTTCCCACGTATACTCTAGGTGCTTTAACTATTAGGAATAGCAAACTGATATTTATATTCTAAATGCAATCACTTTATTTAATAGAGTTTATCAAGAGAACTTTTAAATAGATTAGTTAACTTTATCTCTTGTAAATATTGTATCTATGTATATTCTATATATATTTATATTTGAGAGGCCTTCATTCATTATTGTAATGCTACTATTCAACCTAGTTAGGCTACGAGTAGATTCACGACCAATTTCTATGTTAAATAGTTTATTAAATTACTATCTAGTATAATGACACTTTAAATGATCAAGCACTGATTTATTAAGAACACCGTTTTAGGACGTACGCGGTATATTCTCACAGTTTAATTTTTGACTATGGCTATAAGATAGATTACTATGCGGTCTTTGAAACAGGATAGAGACATTTTTAAGGGCATAAGGGTGGATTTTTAATTTATCTAAGCAGTGGCATGCATCACGATTTTGAGACAACGCTCAAAGGGGCTTTTGTCTTAATTATTATTCGCTGCACCTGAAGTGTTCGAAAAGTTTTGCGGTCATATGCTTTACTTTCTTTTTTAATCTCCACTCTTAAATATCAATGTTTATATCTATACAATGTTCAAATACTCTCTCACACGAAAAATTTAATCAATTTTCAATTTTGATTGTCAATCAATCTTGGATTAGCTTCACAGAGAATCCACCGTTAATCCCTAAATATGCGAGCAGGTTAATTTATAACTTTACTTAATCCCCTTGCTAAATGAAACATTGCTTTTTCTTAAACAAGTTTATTTACTTTATTTATATCTATAATATATATCTGTAAAGATCATGCACTAAAGGGGCTTTCCCTGTATTTAAAATAATGACCACTTGTAATTATGTAATGAAGCAAAAGTAATTTTCGCATCTGTTGTACTATTATTTCTAAAATAAGAGCACTAATTTCATCGGATAGTCCATATTTTTGCACTGAGTGATGTCGCTATTATAAATGAAACTATAACGAATATTCTTAAACGCATTAAAAAATTATCAATACAATGTTGTTTTCTTTTCATGTTTTTTCACCATGCGCTACGATATTTATTTAGTTCATGCATATCTTTGGCAGAGCGGGTATTGTTTTCTTAGTATACTATTACCCAAGAGTAGGGCAAGGCAGTTCGAGCATGGAATTTTAAAAAGTAAAAATAATGATATATATTAAATTAATTAGAAACTGATACCACTTAATCATTAATCATTCAGCTCGTTATATAATTTCTTCACCTCTCGATTAGTATTGGAACTGTCAGAACTCCTCACTAAACTGACCATTAAAGAGACAATATTTATATTTTTTGTCTAAAATATATTTTCAGAGGTTTTCTCGTAAACTAAATAAGAAACGATATTTGAGTATTTTTTATTCTTATCTCTTAGATTCGAGGATTTACGAATGAACTACTAGAAAGCTTACTAAAGCTAGGATAGGTGTGTGCGTGTGTAAAATCCCGTTTTACCCACGTCCGGTATATGGTAGACACAATTTGTCATCATCTCAATCTTTTTCTGATTCATATTCATTCATTTCTTTTTCTTTTCAACCCAGGATGTTTCGCTAAATGCGATGCGTCTTACCATCAAGTCATTTACTATCAAGCAAATAATCATAAAAATACCATAAATTTAGTGAAAAGAGCATCAGTCTTGGATACTCTCGGATATGGCTTCATGTGCTGTTAATATGTCCCTCGTAAAATTTTATGCGATAACATGAATGCACCATGAATGTCGTGTCGATATTATGTCAAACGCGCAATTTTTCACATAATATCGTCACGACATATTATTTTACAGAGTCGTTAAATTCTGGCTATCACTTCTTGAAGGAAGAAAGAAAAGTTAAAGTTACTTACCCAATCAGATGTAAAATGTATTAAGTTGATATTTGACTGGTCCAGAAAGGTAGTAAAATTACAAATATAACAAAGATTTCATTCTCAATCACCCACTAGCGTCATAAGTCGCGTGAAATCCACGCCAAGAGATAAGGGCTTAAGAAATTTTATTGGCATGATAAGCTGTGCAAGACTAGTTGATTACCCGATTACATCAGGATTTAGATTCGATAAAAAGGTTACGCTATACGGTATATTAGTAAATAATACATATAAGCACAATAAGGCGGCGAAAATTAGAATTCCGGGAAAACTGCAAGAATTTACCGGCAAGCCTTGTAAGATTAACCTGGCTCACTATAAATAAAATTGAACAAAGTAACAGAAACCACAAAGAGTGACCTGCTCCAGTTCATATATAGGATACGAGACAAACTCTTAAGAAAATATATTTACGATTAAGCAAAACAAAGTTAATCCGCCTCGTGACCGTCGGCCCTATACGGTCGGTAAAAACAACAATGCTGTTAAAAATAATTTTGAGTTCAACAGAAGTATAATGACTTTAAAACTCATTTAAATTTAACGAAGTTGGACTGCGCTGAATTAATATTTCAAGAAAGACAACTGCTGCGTCACCGAAAGGATTCATCCTTTCGATGAAATATACCTGAACTAAGGGAGAAAGCATAAAATAGTTATGACTTCTGCATTCTATTATCCATCTGTTCACTTTACCGACGAAATCATTTTCCCAACTTTAATATAGGGCAGGTGCTTGTAATGTTTCAGTGTCGACATCTCTTGCAATTCTCTTACACTTATAGCTTTATCATATATCATATACAACAGATTTATCTTATCCCGAATCTGTCACCACACAAGAAATCAAATCTAATTAAGACCAATTAATCATTTAATCAAATTATTAATTACTACTTTTTCAAACATTCATGTAACAGCCACGCCTCATTCACGTTGTAAACATTACTAAAAGAGATTAAAAACGCATAATATCTTATCATAATTACTCTTATAGAATAAAAACATAATAAAATATTAGTATAAGTTTTAGGTTTTATAATAAGTTAGTTATATCAATAATTAAACGGTTATAGCTGTCTAACGAAAACATGTCAACTAAGAACCACTCAATATATCGTTTTTTAAAAATCAATAATATTGAACTATGAAAATAGAAGCTATGAAAACATGCCAGGCCAGTCTGCCAATACTGCAATATACACATGATAGCTTAAATATAATCTATACTAATATTATAAAGAGGAAAGATTTGTATTTTTGTATGTAACAAATAAACTCAAAACGTACTGGACCAATTTTAATAATTATTTTTTTCAATAGAAAGCTACATTATCACTGAGTAACAAATACTACTATATTTTAGTACTTGATTACTATAGACATTTATAGAAATTCTTATTAAAACCAACGGAAGGCGTAAAAAAATTAGCCGTAAAATGTCTTCCTTCGCGTACGCTGCAAAAAGTATTAATGATGGGACAAAAAAATGTTCGACAGTATTATAGAATATATCAATATCTACAAAAAACATCGCGAGAGCATATGTCTAACTATTGTAGTAACGGCGCTATAACTACTTTTTTTACATTTAACAAATTGAATTTCTATTCAATTTCTATGCCGATCAAAATCAGACCGTGATGTCCGTACCATTTATAAATTTTCATCCGATCAATAATTTAATATTCAAGACTGTCTCAATACCTGATGATTACTTTTTTAATTATTGAAATCGGACATTCCATTCAAAAGATATGACGAAGTTAAAATATAAATACATGCCGGCGGCGGCCGCCACGCCGCGCACCGAGTAACTAATTCGACGATAGAAGGGCGCTGGGCTCCTTACGCAGTGGGGGCGAACGACATTGAATATTTCGATTTTTTTTTACATTTTTATGCTTTACCTAAAAAGTTATTTTCAAAGCTACTTAGTTTTAGTATTAGGAATCACACTTTGCATAATATTTGTCAGAGTTCTTTTCAGAACCATCGCTTTGAACTTGAATATTTTCTTTTGTATATAGAAGTTTATTATTTCTCTGATTTAAAACAAATATCCTTCATAGCAATATGCCTAGAAGAAGATGGTCGCAGCTATATAAGAACAGTTTCCAAGCGAGATTAGCAAAAGTTCGTCGTATTGGAGAGTCTTCTTCGTAAAATGATCGTCTGGAAAGTGTTAGATTGTACGCGTCCCAATCGCGAGCCAGAGAATCTATCGTCAAATGTTCAGGTTCGTCTTGCAGAACAAAATACAAGATCGTCGCAGCGACTTGAAGGAAATAGAGCTAGGAACGTGTGCATAGGATAATAACACTGAACGCTCGCAGCGGCTACTGAACCAGCAAGATAGACCACGGTCGTTAACAGAGAGGACGCGCGGTACATTTTTTTTCTAATTTAGTGATTCATGGTCGTTTTAATTAGCATGCTTATAATTTAAATATTTGTACTTATTTATGTCTACCCGTGCGCAGCCGGGACATGGCCGCTAGTCTCTAATAAACATAAACTTCATACGTATTTTTCAAAGTAAAATATTGTTTCGCCACATTTGGTAAGTTGGGTCAACAGGTCTCTCTTAAATTAAAATAAAATACTTTTAACGGATAAAAACGCGAAATGTGTTAGTTAAACTAATGAAAGCATCCAAAACATCGGACCGTATTTAAAATAAATTGTAATCAGTTGAACATTTCGTGTTTTAACACGTCACAGTGTTTTATTTAAATGTGTACTACCTGCTGTTTGTTTATTTTATATACATAAACTGATGGAATATGTTTTCTTAGTGGGCTTTAATTTATCTATAGACTATAAATATTTTTCTTAGATTACATTGAAACAAATGAGCACAGATTAAAAAGTGAAAAATTATTAGGAAAATAATCAAACAGAGACCGGGCCTTATCACACAATGTTAAATGAAAATCAATTTCAAATCGTTATCGGGTAATATTTAAGACTATAAGTAATACTATGTTTAGATAAAATGGTACATCAATCAAAAGTATTAAGTCGGCATTATCGAAAAATGTTGAATTGTTAAAGCTTATGAATGATATGGAATTAATATAAATGAGCGTTTTAAAGCTAAACACGCAAGAGAATATTAGCTATTTAAGAGTTATATCTTCTTCCTATCTCGCACAATGCTGAAATTAATCATTATAGGTGTCTTTGTGGTCGCAGCATCTCTATCTCTTCCGACCGAGTATCCGGATCCGCAAGACTTGGCATTGTATTTGAATGAAGAACAATTCGAGGACTATTTAGATAAATGGCTCGCAGTTGAACAAGAGAAATGGATTTCAAATATCACAGTTAGATCCGCGTCTGCGCGAAGTGGTACATATATTTTTGAAATGTTTTTAAAAGTGAAAGCCCTTCTATTAATGGGGGGGGGGGTTCATGAGACAGACACTTCAATGTTTTACTGATCTACTTTATTTAGGTGCAAATAGTTGATCTGTTCGACGAATAATTGCAACTGGAAAATCCCAGAGTAAGCCTGTGTGTAAATTCAGTTTTACCTGTGTTGGGCGTGGGACGGACTAATATCAGTGCCTTTGTTTTTCAAGGATTCGAACCCAGGAACTTTGGGACTAAACACAATGTTATATATGCATACCATTGAAGAGAGGACGGCTTTTCTATACCAACGACAATTACAACCGAATTGCAGGTACACTATCACTCACAAGGTTTAAAGAAAAAAACATATAAATAAAAAATACATATCTTCCTATATTATAAGGAGAGAAGAGCTGATATTATTCTAAAGAGACTTATTACAGGTTGCAGCCTTCGTGTAAATGGAGATTTCAGTGAGCCCCAACCGGTATTTATTCGTCAGAGCTCTAACAGTTATCTGTTCCCCCGCGACAATTCTGGTACTGTACGTCTCGATTCAGGTGAACGAGTGACTGTTGCTTGTCCTGGACGCAATATTAGACACCCGAATGCTGCCTCCAGCGTGGCCACAGCCGTAAGTATTTCCATAGTAACAATGAAGTTTGAAAATTTTCTTTTTCACATAGTGCACATTATTTCTTTTTTAAATAAAACACTTTTATATATTAGTTTAACTAATATATCGCGTTTTAAACCGTTAAAGTGTTTTATTTAAATGTGTACTACTCGCGTAAACTATAGACAGTATTTTATTCCTTTTTTTCAATTCATGACAGAATGGATTCGAACCAACGACCAGCAGCGAATGCTAACTATGCTACCGTGTCACTCGATTGATTTTTCTGTTTACAACTAAATATTCAAGGGCACAAAAAAGCATATACACATATTCTCCGTTTACGCGAGTAGTATTTAATAAAACACCTTTGATGGTTCAAAACTCCAAATGTAGTAATTAACTTATTTACAATTTATTTGAACTACAGGCCGATGTTTCGGACACTTTGTAGCAGCCGTGATCACTAGGTGTAAAAATTACTAGGTGTAATATCACTAGGTTTCTTTTTGTGTTTTAAACCGTGTTTTTTAAAAGACATGTATAACGTACAACGACCATACCTCAACGCATATATTTCCTCCTTAAATACCGAGAGTTACATTCTGTCTAGGGCTTAGAAAAGATGTTTTTTAGACCGTAGCATGTGCAGGCGGACAGCAAATTTCTGGGCCTGGATTACTTAGGAGCAACGGTGCTTTTGCTCAACTGACATGCAGTGGTCACGCGAATCATGTGGCTGAAGAGACAAGAGAGCGTTGCTACAACAATAATGTGGTTATCAGGTAAGACGTATATTAAACGTAGTCTTTACCCGTTCAACGTATTGAACTTTTCGTTCAAGAGTCCAGAGAGATCTTTAGATAAGGCGGGCTTAGAAGCATTTGAAGAATATTGATAAGAAAAATTTGATTAAAAGCCACGAACCACAATCACACTGTTATATGATTTTGAATATTTTTTTTGCGACAGAAGAAGACAGACAAGCAAGGGATTCACTTGATAGAAGGTAAAATACCCTGGCCAAAATAGTTAACATGTAAGCAAGATACAATGTCGATCTGTTTTGGTTTTTTTATTCAACAATTCACAACCTGAACCATACGATTCATCTTCGCAACTTTTTTCATCTGTGGACGGTGATTCGATAATTAAACACCTATTTTACTTATATCCAGTTTCGGACAAAAATCGAATCCTGGACCGTGTGAAAGAATCGTACCCACCTGTTGATTATTAGCCATACATTACTATACTACACCAGCTTATCTTCTTTAATTAATAATAAAAAATCTTTCTTCAGGGTTGGATTTGTAGTATACGACGTTTTCTATCCAGTCTACCATTCGTGCTATGACAAGAACCGGTTCGAAGTTTTGTACGTGTGGGCGCCCATGGACGCGTCTAACACTGTACAGCAAACGGGCGTAGACAGACCTGGTTGGATCGGTAGTAACATTTATGCATATGACATAAATACAAATAATAAAAAAATATATCCATGATGCAATAATCCGAATTCTAAAATGCAAAATAGGCCGGCAGCGCTTCTTGTTTAGATGTTACCTGTTTAAGTAAAACCCTTTAACGGTTTAAAACGCGTGGTGACCACGGCTACTGCAAAGCATCCGAAACGTCGGGTCGTAGTTAAAATAAGTTTAATAATTGTATATCGCGTTTTAACCCGTAACGTGTTTTATTTATATGTGTACTACTCGCGTAAACTACACACAGTATTAGATTATATGGTTGATATTTTACGTCCCATTAGGGTTTTCCCCCCAATTAAAAAAAAACAAGCCGAACTTAGCTTATGATCTGTGTATTGTCTGTATCTTTGTCTCTTTATTTATGCAACTGTAGCGTAATATGTAGGGGGGCCTATCGCAATTCTTTTTTGTGATTTTGTAACATACTATATCAATTAAATAAAATTCTGACGTCATCACATGTAATGTCAAAAAGAGTAGATTTTTATCCATATACGTATAACAACAGCGTATTTGATAATGTTTTTAATATCGAACTAAAGTTACCACTAAATGTGCCAGAAAACACAATACATATTATTCGTCTCTTCTTCTTTCAGCGGGCAACTTCTATCCGGGAGTGCAAGCAAATTCCCTTTACACGCAAGTGCAACAAAAACAAGCGATAGCAAGAGTTGTCGGTGACAGATTGGCGAACCAATATGTGACTAGTAATCAGTTCCTAGCGCGAGGGCATCTCACTGCCAAGAGTGACCAAATTTTTGCTACGGGACAACGTTCGACGTTTTACTTCATCAACGCTGTTCCACAGTGGCAACCGTTTAATGGTGGGAACTGGAATTCATTGGAACAGGTATAATATTTGGCATACGCCAAGTAAAGGCGAATGATGCTTAAAGAACTTATTTGTATCTATGGTTGCACTTACTACATTTATGTACATTAAAGTTTAAATACAATACATTTAACGGCTTAAAACGCGAAATATAATGTTGCATTTATTTTTAACTACGGCCTACTACTACTACTTACTATGGCCCGACGTTTCGGATGCTGTGTAGCAGCCATGGTCACGGGAGGACTGTAGATGGAGTGTGTCACAGTTAAAACTGCTAGGCTGACGCTAAATATAACTTCACTAATATATTTCGTGTTTTAAAGCGTTAAATTTTATTTAAATGTGTACTATTAGCGTAAACTGCAGACACTACTTCCATTTAAATAGGAAATCGATTTTAAATATTTTTAAAAAGACTAAAATTTTAAAATGACTAACCAAACCATTGATAAAATTTCTAGAATCTGCGAAGGCGTATTGGAACAGCCGGTTACAAATGTGTGGTTTACACAGGGTCTTTCGGAGTGACCCAGCTGCGGAATGAAAACGGGCAATTTGTCGATATCTTCCTGGACAATACAAATGGAAGACGAAGACTTCCTGTGCCACTTTACATGTATAAGGTAAACAATAAGCGAGGTAATTTTGTATTTACAAAACAGTTGCCAATAGGTAGGAAAGGTAAATTGTTCAAATACTATCAATCAAATCATATTGTTTCTTGTTTAAAATGTACTTATTAGATATTACTTTTAATTAAATTACAATATAACAATCTCATTCTCTTATAATAAAAGACCTAATGTTCGCGTTCTCAAACAAAGAATGCGGTTTACGTGTAATTGTCGTTGATATATGTACATATAGTAGGTAGATATAACTAATCATTGCGTTATCAAAATTATAACTACAATAATCTGAAATAAATAAAATCTAATTAAGACTTGATAAATTTGATTGATAGGTGATTTATGCGTAAGTGTTACCTCAATAAAAGTAACGCAAAAGACCTTCACTATTATATTCTCCCTTTTATATATATTTCACCCTATAAACGCACAGATCATTAAATTAAATAATGTCGAAAACAAACCAATAACAAAAATAATAAAAAAAGTGTTTGTTTTAAAATGCCAAACCTACCTTTTAGCGTAAATAAGGTTTTTGTCTGTATAACTGCCGTGGTCACGGGGAGACTACACATAGTATCCCATTTATACACTATGAAAACCTTCCGAAACGTCGAGCCGTAGGTAAAATAATTTGTAAATAAGAACAACTAATACATTTTGCGTTTCACACCGTTAAAAGCGTTTTATTTAAATGTGTACTACTCGCGTACACTTCCCACATTTGTACTTGCACAGTACTTTTCAAAGAATAGTCTTTAGATCTTGTGTAATAGAAGTGAGTTAATTACACATTTATCTTTCCTTTTGTTATAGGTAGCCTATGACGCAAGCAGGCGTGTAGGTACTGCTTTTATAAGCATCAATAATCCACACTACACGGCAGCTGAAGCCCGATCTCTACAATTCTGTACCGATAGATGTCGCAACAACAATGCCTTTAGCTGGCTCAGATGGCAGCCGGACCGCGTCGATCTTGGTTACAGCTTCTGCTGCACAATCAGCGACTTTAGACGGAGAATACCTCATCTTCCCTCGTTCACTGTCAACGGACTTCTGACGTAATCACAAAAATATTGATGAAAATAATGTTTTGCTGGTATATATAATAAATATATTTAACCGAACTTGTAACCCTTTACATATTACAATAAAACTTGCTTGCCTTTTTACACAAAACGTATGAGTATTCTTCTTGGGCGGACATTTAAAGTAAGAGAGTATTTTCACTCCATCACTTGAATTAGTTCTTTTACCGTATGTCTATACGTTAATATATACGAACATATACCTTCAATTTAATTTTATACTAAACATTTCACTATATACATGCTAAATATTTATTACATTTAAATAAGAATAGGTAAGTTCATGTTTTAGCGCAAGGCACCTTACTTAGAAATCAAAATATCGATAAACCTATAATAATTATGGTTCAGCTGTGCCCGCGACTTCGTCCGTGTGGAATTGTGACTAGGGGTAGAATTTTTAATTATTGAGGCTGTTTATTAATCTACGGTAAGTGCTACTTTGCCGCAACACTCTTACCTCACATCACTCCTACTCTAACTCCCACTCTCATTCCTACACTCACTCCCACTATCACTCCTTCTCTCACTCCCATTCCCACGCCCACGCCCACTCCTATTTCCCAAAAAGCCAAAGAAGGAAGTTTCATTGTTCTATCTTCAAAAACCACGAATTTCCATACCTTTTCACCCTTTTAACCACTAACATACCCCCGCAATAAAAAGTAGCCTATATCCTTTTTCAGGATCTAGACCATTTGTATACCAAATTTCATTCAAATTCGTTCAACAGTTTTGGCGTGAAAGAGTAACAGACAGAAAGATAGAGTTACTTTCGCATTTATAATATTATAGTATAGATTAAATATTATCTAAATACAGTACTCAGATAAAAAAATAATCCTAGTCCAATTCACGTCAGCATTAATTACGAACAATAAGGTGTTTTCTCTTATCAATAAAGTTGCAAAAAGAGGGACTGTTCTGATTATCGATAGATATTATTATCATTAAGTTACCTATTTATAGAGTCTTGCTTGATTAATTACCCAGTCTGCATAAAGTCCAGCCCAGGGGCTGGTCTCTGGACCATTTTCTACCACATTTCTACCAGGAGCAATATCTACTCCCTCAACATGAAGTCCTTAATAATTCTCACGTTTCTTGCAGTAGCCTTTTGTCTGCCGACAGATTGGCCAAATCCTGATGAACTGGTATATAAACTAGGAGAAGAGGAATTTGAAGATTACTTAGAAGAATGGATTTCAAGGGAGGAACAAAAGTGGGTCAATACGTCCCTCGCAACTTCTACAAGTGCTCGTAGTGGTGAGAGGCTTTGTTGACATAAATCATAATTAGCAAAAGATAATTTATTAGTAATTGAATTTAATAAAAAAAACTAAATTTTAGGATGTACATTTAACGTACGAGGCGATTTTTCAAGTCCACAACCAGTGTTTATTCATAGATGGATGAACAACTATTTAGCTGCCTATGGCAATTCCGGTCAAGTAAGACTCAACTCTGGCGATGAAATTATAGTCGCATGTACCGGATCTGGGAGACAAATTCGTCACCCCAATATCGCGTCCAACGTTGCAGTAGCAGTAAGTATTAAAAAAATATTTCTATATTATTTAAACTGTTCTATTTCTTCTTTAGAACACGTTAGAATAAAAACTTTTTTAAAGGAGATGCTACATTGATTTATTATTTTTTAGACTGCAAGGTGTGTTAACAGCAACCTTATATCTGGATCCGGTTGGTTGAACGGAAATCGACAACTTAGACAGCTGACGTGCAATAATGATGCTATTCACGAAGCTGTCCAGACAAACGAGAGATGCTATGGCAATAATGTTGTCATCAGGTAATAACTGTTTTGAATGATTTACGTATCGTTTCTTCAAAGTCGAGGCGAACACCTCTATCTTGAATAAAACGCGTACTACCAGAGAAGTGGTACGCACATCTACCCACAAAACAACACCGCTAACCTCCAAATAACATAGAGTTGTGTATTATTTGTATAACTTTATAAATAGATCAAACAGTGTTAATTGATATTTAACTATCATTTGTTACAGTGTCGGATTTAGGGTAAACAACGTTTTTTACCCACTCTACTGGGCATGTTTCAACAGGAATCGTTACGAAGTCTTATTTGTATGGTTATCTCACAAACCCCACAAACGCTGTTCACCAGACAGGCGTCAATCGTCCTAATTGGATAGGTAAGAATTTATCTTACTCGTTGCTAATATGTTATGATGACGATCTATAATTTTCTTTATATTAAAATTGCAGCTGGAAATTTCTTCCCCGGAATCAACGTTAACAATCTGTACACTCAAAACCGTCAACGAGAGGCTATAGGAAGGGCAGTTGGTACAAACATGGTCGGAAGATACGTCACTAGTCAACAGTTTTTGTCTCGTGGCCATCTTGTAGCCAAGAGTGATCAAGTGTTTGCAACTGGACAGCGCTCCACTTTCTACTTTATCAATGCTGCTCCACAATGGCAACCATTTAACGGCGGCAACTGGAATAACCTTGAAATTGTTAGTAGTGAAAAGCTACACACTCGATTCAATAGGCAGGATTCGAACCTGCGACAGACGGAGTTGGATACTTCCTTAAAGCGAATTTTTTAGAGTATAAGTACAACTACGTTAAAAAATTGATAAGCAATAAATTGTGTAAGGCTTTCACGGCCAGTTCACCATATCACTGTTTTTCGGGCTGTCGATCAACGTCATGCTTCGAACAATCGAGCTAACAACATCTCCTGATGATGCCGTCCGCTCGTGATAGCGAAACGTTGAGAAACTCTTCTCGCTCACATCGACCGAACTGCCCGAAAAACAATGATAGACAGACAAAATGTTATAAGGACTATTTCCTTTTTATACATCAATAATAAAAATAACAAGTAAATTAAGCAAAAAAACATTTTTCTTTATTTTATTTATAGAACCTACGAGATCGTATCGCCAGAGCGGGATACCAAACAACAGTCTATACGGGCACTTTCGGCGTTACACAATTGCGGAACTCTGGTGGACAATATGTCGACATCTATCTTGACAATACTGGTAACAATCGCAGAATCCCTGTCCCTCAATACTTCTACAAGGTAACAGCAATAGTGTTTTTGAAACTACATACATACATATATCTAGCTATATGCATCGCTATATATAAATAAAACACTTTAACGGCTTAAAACACGAAATATATTAGTTAAACTTATTAAAAAAATATTTTAACTACGACCCGTCGTTTCGGATGCTTTGCAGCAGCCGTGGTCACGGAGGGAGGAAACGTCGGGCCGTAGTTAGTGTAAATAAGTTAACTACTACATTTCAAACCTTAAGTGTGTTTTTAAGCTCAGTTCGTTTCTAAACAATAAGGTGTAAAAAGTAGTTTGTCATAGTCACTTTAAACATAATCTATTAATATTTTTTCAAATGACGTTCTCTTTTAGTAACATTTAAAATACTTAATTTTTATTTTAAACAGGTGGCATACGACGCAAACAGGCGTTTGGGTACCGCTTTTATTAGTATTAACAACCCATACTATTCATTGGCTGAAGTACGATCTCTGCAATTCTGTACGGACAGGTGTCGTAACAACAATGCTTTTAGCTGGCTCAGATGGCAACCAGACCGCATTGACTTAGGTTACAGCTTTTGCTGCACCATAGATGAGTTTAGACGACGCATACCCCATCTACCAAACTTCCAAGTCAATGGTTTGCTTACATAAAACATGTTGTAAATAGCTATTTATCCGCACTCTATTTTAACCAGAATCTTCTAACTCTGAAACTCACCTACCTAACACTCGAGAAGATTTAAACTTCAAAATATTAAAATTGTATAAAGCAATACGTCATATTGTAATTCATTGAAGTGTTTGCAGGATGAAGTGGCAGTACATTATTGTTTCTTCATTTATTGCTTCAAATTTATGATAGATTCATTCAATGTCAAAAGCAATATAAAAAAGACGTTACTTTAAGCTAGTTCTTATCGTCTGTTCCCTTAACTATGTTAAATAAATAAATGAAATAACAAAAGTTAAAAAAAGAACAATAATATGTATCAATTAATAAATAATAATAAAACTAATTATTGCAGCATTTAGATTTTTTTATATCCAATATTGCGAATCTGCTCTGATGGTTTCTGTCGTGTCGCATTAGGACCGTTTTCGAATTCGATAAGATCATTGAAAACGCGTTTCATTTCCTGGGAATTGAAGAGTTAAACAACACTATTATTTTAAAATATTAGAACATAGTATATAATCTGAAAGCAATGCCATACGCGTCAGACAAGTGTAAATTTTCCTTTAACTCGAGAAATATTAGGCCTGTGCTATATTCTTCGTCAATCTGTGGTCAATACTGTCAATGTCAATGAGTACTATTACTTCTTTCAAAATCATCAATCTGAATTGATATACTTTTATTTTCGACTTAATTGTGTAAGAAATAAGAACCTTTTTGACACACATTCTCTTGACATTTTTAATGAAAATAATATTCTTATTTATCAAGAAATAGGTAAATTGTTATGTTTTATCAGTGCTACGTTAGCTTGTAATTTATTTTTTTCTGTTATCGTTATAAGTTGTAACTTCATGACCTAAGTACTTATCTATTTTATCTCTTTTGTGGTGTTCGTCAAATATACAATAAATATTTATCAAATAAGCATTTAATTACCAAGTATAACTATGGCAGAAGAACTCAAACCAGTTAATGCTGACGATTTGAAACAATTGAAGGAAAGAATGAAGTTAATAGCAGACGCAGATCCGGCACAATACCATAATGAATATTCACTAAAACGATACTTAAGAGCATTTAAAACAGTGGATAATGCTTTCCAGGTAGGTCTGATAAGTTATTTGGTTTTAAAATATGTAAAACTATGAAGTTTCTAAATTATTTTTCTGCCAGTGTTTTTTGTAATCAATCTGAAACTTGTATAGGCAATATTAAAGACAAATAAATGGAGAGCGGAATATGGTGTGACAGAACTTCAAGAAAATACTGACATCATTGAAAAGTATAAAAATAAGGCAAGAGTTTTAAGACACAGGGACATGATTGGAAGACCTATTATCTACATACCAGCGAAAAACCATAGTTCTAGTGACAGGGACATTGATGATCTGACAAAGTTCATTGTGTACTGTCTGGTGAGATTCTCTTTATAATATTTCATGAACTTAAAAATATGACTTCAGTTGATTAAGCTTTATTGCAGAGTTGCACAGACTTTGGCCCGCCACTAGTATACTGGTGGCCCACTGAAAAAAAAATACTCAAATTAATAAATTATATTCAATTTCAATACATTATTATCAATTTTTTATTGTCTTTCTGGCAGCCTGCCATAAGTTCATGATTTGCCCAAGTAGTCCTACTCTTAATAAGTCTGTGCATTGACCAAAAGCATTAAGTAAGCAATATAACATTAACATTGTCCCTTTTTCTTTAATTATTTATAAATTTATAATGTTAGTTTTATGTACATCTAACATACATATAATTAGTGATTGTAAAACATATCATAAAATAAATAGCTGAATGCAAAATATTTTTTTCACACAGGAAGATGCAAGTAAAAAATGCTTTGAAGAAGTTGTAGATAATCTATGTATAGTATTTGATTTGAACAGTTTCACTCTTTCATGTATGGATTATCAAGTGCTGAAGAATCTTATATGGCTTCTGAGTAGACATTATCCCGAGAGACTTGGGGTGTGTCTTATCATTAATGCTCCAACATTTTTCTCTGGTTGCTGGGCTGTTATTAAAGGATGGTAAGCAATTTATTTAAATTAATCCTTTATTTTCCAAGGTGGATATCGAGCAGATGCATACAACACCAATACCTATGATTACATAATGCTATCTTTCAGGCTTGATGAAAATACAGCTGGAAAAGTGACTTTTGTTAACTCTGAAATGGATTTATGCCAATATCTGATACCAGATATCTTACCCACTGATATGTAACAATGATAATGTGATGTAAATAGCAGGGGAGCAAGCCTGCTAAGTACTTTCATCAATATTATAGCAGAACACAGTCAAGTGGAAGGTGCATATTCCTTAAAACCTTAGTGGTCTCTCAATAGACCACTAATTACATTATCAATTTGTAAAGACAGTACATACTAGTCTTTGATTTGGGACAATTGCAAACTATGAACAGGGCTGACTACATGCCATTGTAAATAAGACTTACACTGTAGCTAAGTTCAGTTACATTCAATTAAGGTATATGGTAACGTTTTCAACAATTAAATAAACATACAAGAATGAATATTTAAATTTATGAACAAAGATTGTTTGTTTTTAAATGCACTAAACATTTTTTAAGTTTTATCATATGGTGCAATACAAAATGCATCATAATACCTTGGTGTGGCATCTTGTCAGCATATTTCTTTATATGGTGACTATGTAAAAGGTCCATCAGAAATTGTGGACAATTTAGGTACTGTTACCTCAGCTAGATGTACTTTATTTATTTTTTATTAATAGTCTTTGTGAATTCTTGCCGCAGCTAGTTGTACTTGTTTTAATATTAACTTATTTTTACTAATGCAAAGCGTTTTTAATTTAATTACTTGATTCCTATCAGGAAAGTTAATACCATGTGTTTAAAACCAAATAATTAGTTGTTTACACAATGTCTTGTTTGTTGACTTATTAATAATGTAAAAACAAATATTGTAATAATCTGTAATACTAGTTTTATTAAGTCACTTAAAGTTATTTTCAGATATTTACAGAACAAAACAAAATGATGAAGAAGCAATTTAATCATTTTGTATTGTTCTGTAAAATGTTTCATTTAAAAATTTACTATGCAATGTAAATAATAAATAACACCTTATAAATTAAAATTTTCAAATAGCGCCTTGATAACATTACTCACTATCTAGTCTGTATGCCATAATATTGCAATTCCTTTATATAGCAATAATATTGCTGTTTGTAAACCCAACGAAAATGTTACACTATTTCATATAAGTCTTACTATTAATAATTATTATTGGTTTAATAACCTCGAATTCTTGTAATTAATTACACATTATTGTTATTTATTAGACTTGCAACAATGGTTACTTGTGCCTATTCGTGTTTTATTAATTCGCGAATACCGAATATCTACATATTTTGGCCGAATAACGAATACCTAAATAATATATTTTTAAAGAAATAATTGGTAAAATGAAAAATTAAAATCGATTGCTTAGTATATACTTATTCATATTTTTGTTTCTGTTATAATCATAAAGTAGCATTGGTAATAATTGTGGAACCTCAGAGGAAAAAATAACTTGTAGAAAGATCCAAAAAGCCTTTCTGGTTTCTTTACAAACACCAATACGTTTTTACCCCTACTTGTATCCTACCTTGTTTTTAAGAACTTGCTTTAATTCTCTTGTGTCGCAGATCTCTGGCAATTATTGTAGCTTGTAAGTTGTTCGAAACCAAATCGATATACTTATTTGAGGGAAGCCTCTGTCACTGTTTGTACCGAACACATGGCCACTAGAAGACACGATCTCTTTGACGTCCCGAGAGGTCGCACCTCTGCTCGCGCGTTTTCGCCGATACCACGAATTTTAACCTCACTCAACGCTCTCCTCAAGTTAAGACCCAAATGTGATCTTTTCGCAGATCACTGGTCATCAATACTGAGAAATTGTCTGATTTTTAAATTTTGTCCTAATGTAATTGATGATACTCTATTGTTAATGTAACTATTTGTAAGAAGTACACAATAGAATATTGGATAGAAATCCAATTAATGTAAGTGGCTATCGCTGTTTTAATTGTCTTTATAATAAATAAATAAATAAATAATACTATAATAGTAGTAATTGGTACATAATAATAACGAGTACGTTAGAACAAAACAAAGGAGCGCGAAACAATCACGTCTGTACAAGTTTTTGGAGCAAAAATCCAGCCGAATACTTTTGCCTAATATTCGGCTATTCGGTCAGGGGTCTCGCCGAATATTGGTATTCGGTATACTGCCGAATATACTATTCGTTGCAAGTCTATTATTTATATAAGATGTCTTGTACCTGTCATTCAAAATGGTGTCTAGCATATATTCTATTCTCTAACATCATTTTAAATATACATATTATTATGGAAATATTTTTTAATTTTGTAAATTAAGGTGATCGCATATTAGTTTTTTTGTACGGACTGCATTTCTGAACCTGACCTAATTCTTTAACGAATGTACAATTGAGGATATAAGGTTAGGTTAGGTTCCGTACGTTCGTGTTTAATGTGATCATCTTTATGATCCCTTCAATTTATAATTACTATCGAATGTGAAAGACAATATAAATCGAAACTTCCGTTGTATACTACATCATTTCTACGCGTCATATACAACATAAAAAAAAGTGAGAGGGTATTATGGCTTAGACTTTAGAAAATCTAAGAGCGGTATCGAATTTTATCTAGCACTAGCTGAGCCAGCGACTTCGTTCGCGTAGAATAGTTATTTCGGGCATCCAAATTCGTTTTTTCCCGTCGTTCCTTTTTTTACTTTTTTTTAGATCATTTAAAGAGGAGTCTTTCTGTCAGACATATTTTTTGGGTATCTTGAACCGTTTTTGCAGCGTACGCCTCGGATACCCATAATGAATGAATAATTTTCCCAATTTCTTCACATATCTCGTTGTATCTTCGATTATATTTGTCATATATGTTTTATAGACTATATAGCCTTCCTCGATAAATGCTTTAACCAACACAAAAATATTTTTTACTCTAAACGAACTCTTCAGCTTTATATATTAGTATAAATTTGTTTGGATTTAAAACTCCCTTGAAGCTATTATACTATTTAAATTTGACGCAACATACACATACATTTTTGCCCGACGCCCACAAACGTAAAATTCTACGAATTTTATATTATATAACTTATAAGAAATAGAAGTTTCGATGAAAAGGTACTGGTGCAAACCAAGCAGAGGGATATTCTTGTGTAAACATAAAACACTTTAACGGTTAAAAACGCGATATATTAGTTAAACTTATTTGAAAATGTTTTTTAACTTCGGCCCGACATTATTTGAATGTGTACCTACTACTCGCGTAAACTATAGACAGTATGCTTAATATTATCAAAAATACAGTACAGGTCGTAAAATTTAAATAAAAAACTTCATTTATTATATTTTATTTAATTTTACAAAATAGTAGGTATACAAATAAACCGCTGTACAAAGCAAAATTACACATGTAATCTTTGACGTAAAATCGCATGGAATACACTTACATTATTGTACTTTTAAAATATCAGGGTTACATTATTGCGATAAATGAATTGACCCAAATTGAACAGATTGAACCAAAAAAATAATAGTTTCGTTAATAAAAGTTATTTAAATGCCAATTATACTCGTTTCCAGATCGAAACACTTAAATTAAAATTAGTACATGACGTGTTTTCATCGTTAAAAATGTAGTCAGTCAATAAAGGTAAGTGAAATTAATAATAGTCAGTCGCAAATCCACGATCAATCACGTTAATGATATCGATTGGCACAAACCCATTTTATAATGTCCAAAAATACAAATCTCATCGCGAGTTATCAAAATAACAACGAAACAACATTTGCTTTTCACTATATTTTCTACAATCGAGTCGTATTTTCTACAATCGAGTCGAGACGTATATTCCGTTGTCGGGAGTCACTTGTAAAAGTCCTATAAAATATACAAACAAACAGTGAGGAAATTGACTTTTCTGAAATGTAATTTAACGGTTTCTAGGTGAGATCTCATAGAAGCAATATTACAATATACCAAAGATACATAATTTATTTACCTAATTTAATATGACTAGGTACTTAAAATCACACCACAATAATAGATCAATCAGTACGAGATATGTGTACAGCAAGGAATGTCGAAATCGTGAATAAAATAAGTCATTCAATTCCAGTTAAACAATTCCGTAAATTTAATTATAATATAACAATACTGCTACGTTGAGTCAATTATATAATTATGTACAGTTAAACGTAATGATATGACGGTTAATGTGGCTAATCCGATGAAGCCTAACTGTTTGGAGATTTTAATGGAGTAAGTGATGACTGAATGCTAATGGAGACTAGATGCCTACGTCTACTGAGTATTCTTAGATGCGCTACTTCTCAATACGTTTAATTACTAACTGAATTGTATTATGCGGCTAGGCAGTGGACGGCCAGTATTTTGTGTATCGTTTGAGCCTCTCTACAATATAATGCGTAAATTGTATAGCAAAATATATACATCGACTTTTATTGCTGTAGTTAACCTGAATTTTCGAACCCGGTGACTAATACCTAATAACTAATTATGTCAGAACGTTTAATCGAGTTTGTTGTCCACGTTGTGAGATTTTACAATCACTATTATTGTCACTGTATTGCTCGAAATAACTAAAAAATCTCCTGCGACAGCAAATAATTGTACTGTTGATATACAACATTTCATATAGAACAAAATTTTTGCGAAAGACTTGACATCTGATGTACGTGAAATCAGAAATAAAATTTTATAAAAATCATTATCTATTACGGAAATAGTTCAGAAGATTAAAAAATGTGTCAAATAATCCAATAGTTGTGCCGCTCTTTTACTTGATTTCCATTTGGATGTATGGTTGCATATGTCAGTACCAGATGCTTAAACTACTAAACGGTTAAACCCACCGCGTTTTATTTTTTTAAGCGACATGTTTGTAACGAAGTATAAGTGTTACGCCTCAAATAACACAACGCGTACACGCGCGTAGAATGCAATCACGTGGGCGATGCGTGTACTCTGCGTGCGCGCGGCAGGGTGAGCGGGTGTTGGGGGGTGGCGGCGGGGCTGGTCATAGCCGGTATCACGGGACTGGCGGGCTGGCCAGGCACAATGGAAACGAGCGGATTCAGGTTGGGCGTGGCGGGGTCTGGGCGCAGCAAGCAGAGCAGCAGACGCAGTCAATCGGCGAGCACGGTGTGAGCGATCTGCGCGAGCTCCTCTTTGAGCACCCGGAACGAGGGCCGCTCGTCGGGCGCGTGCCGCCAACACGCTCTCATTACCTGAAACAGGACATTAGTGTATTAAATACTGTCTATAGTTTACGCGAGCACGTTGTTACCGATATTAGTTGAACTTATTTGAAAATTATTTTAACTACAGCCCCACGTTTCAGTTACTTTGCAGCAGCCTCTCCTATTGACCCCCACTTTTTAAACCGTTAAACTGTTTTATTTAAATTTGTATTTTAGATTTTTTCCCACAGTTTTTGGGATCCTTCTGGTCGCAGTCTGATGCTTAATGGGCTAAAGCCTATATATATAAAACATCAGACTGCGAGCAATAGGATCCAAGAAACTGTGGCAAAATGCGGAAAAACATGGGGGAAATATTTTTTTCTTTGAGTTTCCGTTGCGCACATTGCGATAACGCTTTTAGATACCGAAAAATATGTACAAAATAAATATTCCGTAAAAAAAAATACTTCCACGGCAGCATATTATGTCCTTAGAAGATTAAATCACAAAAACCATTTTTATGGTAATTAAATTTAATCAAATACTGTATATGGCAAAATAATGTTTGCTAAATCGGCTAGTTATAAATATAAACAATACAAAATATAGATGAAATGTGGAATAAAGTACATACAAGAACAAAACATTGAGATGTTAATTTGTTCATAATAAAACTCACATTATAAATTTCATTGAGACATCCTTTAGGTTTTTCGAGCACCTGTCCTCTTTGCACCATCTCTACTACTTCAGAGTTCTTCATACGTCCGTACGGCACTTTGCCGCAAGTGAAGACTTCCCACATTAACACACCTAAAAAATAATGGAATATCTATACCATCTGATGATGCCGTCCGCACGTGATGGCGAAACGTCGAGAACCTTTCTCGTTCACATCAGCCGAACAGCCCGTAAAACAATGATATAATGGAATATCTATCGTAATGAAATCTTTAAAATCTATTAAATTAAGAAATCGTAATCTATCTACCGAAAGCCCAGACGTCCGATTTCGATGAGAATCTGGTGTAGTTGAGTACTTCCGGCGGCGCCCACTTAATAGGAAACTTGGTACCACCGGAACTTGTGTATTGGTCATCTAGAACATATCGCGCCAAACCAAAATCTGCCACCTGCAATAGAATCATTATATCGTTTAAATCATTAATAACATTCATAATAATTGGGTCCTTAGATACAAATAGTGATAACATATACATTTTTTAAAAAGTACATATATTAAGTTATAACCATCAGTATCTAACATAAAAATAAAATATCACTCACTTTGACAACATTTTCGTCTCCAACTAAACAATTTCTTGCAGCTAAGTCTCGGTGAATATAATTATGTCTTTCTAGGTACGACATTCCCTTGCACACCTGCAAAACAGAAAAAAACAGTTTCGTTAAGAATGCAAATGTGTCTGTGTGTATGTCCATTTCTTATGCACTAAATATACAACCTGTGCTATAGATTTTAAGATAAGCGATGTTAAGTTAAGAAGAATCTACATTATTTTAGTTTGTAATTAATAATAATGATAATTATTAATAATAATAATGAAAAATCTACGTAAGAACTGTAGCTTTTTTTACTGATGGTCTAAATCCTGATGTCATAATACACTCCCCGTCGGGCATTTGTGACTTATTAGTAGGGTAAATCACCCCGTCAAGTGTTCAGGCTGGTAGTACCAACCCTAACGAAAGAGAGTCGATCAGGACTACTAAACACACCAGCACGCGACGATGCTTTAGAGAACCCTGGGAACATGTTTGTGCGACTCCCAGACATCAGAGCTTTAGGACCCTTTTTTAATTGCCATGTCAAACAAAACAGTAGGAAAAAACTAGTACAACATTGTGAATTTTTGTTTATAGGTACGTTAGTACCTGTATGCACATGTCAAGTAGTACAGCCGGTCCCAGCTGATCCGGCGAAGTACGGCGCAGATAGTTGAAGAGGGAACCGTGCCGCATGTATTCCGTCACTATGTAGATGGGCCGATGTTTCGAGCAGACGCCATACAGCTGCACCAGGTTCTGATGTTGTAATTTGCTGAAAATTTTTAAATATTCATTTAAGGCAATATCGCATCTTGTCATCTTCCATAATGTGAACCCCACGCTCGTCAGTCCTCCTTTATTAAATGCAGGTTATTTGTTATTATCACAAGTTTATGTCAGTGTAAACTTTGTATAAGTTGGTGATTCGATTGACATTGATAGAAAATAAAAATATATTTTACTATTTTACGGGGTGCTGAAGGAAATTTAATTTATAGTATAATAGATTTAAATGAAGCCACGGAATTACTCAAGATGTATTAGCAAACTTACGTCATGACTTTCGCCTCGTCTATGAAGTCGTCTTCAGACATGGTGCCCTCTTTCATCATTTTGACAGCGGTGTCGATGCGTCCGCGCCACTTCCCGCGACGCACCACACCGAACTGGCCCGCGCCCAATTCTTCTAGTAGCACTAGCTCCGAGGGATCTATTTCCCATTTATCTGAGCAACGAAAAAAGTTCTCATAAATGATCTATTATTATAAATTACAAAAAAAAAAAAAATTTACAGTTTAAACCATATTTTTATTTTATTTACAGTTTAAACTTAATCACGCCTTAAATCAATAATAAAACATTACTATTCATAGTTCTTTAACAAAGTTTTATACACAACCCGAGATCGAACTCTGATCTTACGTTCGTAGGAACGGGACGGACATAGTACGGGAGTCCGAACCATAACAGATACTTGTTTAACTTACCGTGGGACAATCCCGCCGTAGGTGGCGCTGGTCGATCACAGGGCGTGGCCTTCAGTCTTGAGCAGAGTCCCCCACTATTGTGTTTGTGGTAGTTAATCAGCTCGGGGATACTGACGCAGCAATGCTTGTCTGACAGGTAGAACTCGCCGCGAGCGTTTTGTTTTATATGATAGTGTTTCGTTTGTGGATGGGTACTGTTAATAAATCAGTCAAATATCATTTATTCACTAGGTACACTTATGAACGTCACATCAGTTAAAAACTAAAGACTTTTACATTTACTACTAGTTCTCAAATAAAGGGCGAAAACGAACGAGAAGAATTGGCAAGAAACTCGCCACCATTTCTTTTATCGCCAAGTTTCATTTTACGTATGCTACATATATTTTCTTGTAATACTGGTCCAACCCCAAGTATTAGTTAAGAAAGTTAACGTCGTAATAACCCTTTCCAAGTATTTGTTCTACATAGGATTTAAACTTATTTATTAGTTGATAAAAAAATCAATGCTGATATCATCTTCTTGGATACTAATATTAAAATATGTTAGTTTTGTCGTTCGTTCTTTCTCCTAATTGAGTAATTATAGAGATTATAATAAGGTAGAGCAACAGAGGTTACTTTGGCTCACGCAAAACGATTAAAATCAAACCGAGTTCATTAAAATATGATAAAAAAACTTACACTTTGGTATAGAGTGAGAGTGTATACATTCCCTTTGTGGAAGAGTTTCGCACAACGAAACAGCCCTCTTTGTCCTCCTGTTTAAGAAGAGATTCTGCACGTTGACGAGACATTTCTCCTACGTACCATCTATAAAGACAGGTTGAAATTGTAAACCCAAAAGTTAGATAGAAGGAAGCATTTTTCATCCAGATAAAAACTGCTGCAGATCCGTCCCATGTACTATTATTTATGATGCGTAGAGCAAAGGGTAATTTATTTGTATGTATAATATTTGTACGCTACGTCGAAGTTGTGGATAACTTACTCGTATTTTTGCAATCCAATCGTTTCCTTTTCTTTAACATAATTACTTGGAATGTAACCGACTAATCTGAAATTATAAAATAAAACTTTTGAAACACAATCAATCAATACGTCAAAATTTTAAGTAGTTTAAGTTAGATATAAGCTCCATTTTAATAGTAAATAATGTAAAATAACAAAAAATATTCAAAATATAATAGAATTAAAATGATTAGTAAATAACGTACCCATTTTCATCTTTGACTTTCCACCAATGCTCTTGTGAATCGTCGATAACTTCATATTCAGCTCCCTGAAAACGACAAAAAATACTAATGAAGTTGAACACGTAAATTTTAATTTAGTAATAAAATTATTTTAAATTAAATAAAAATACCTTTTCAAGAGACAGATCTCCACTCTCTATGGCTTTGAAGGGATAAAGCGCTACGACGACTTTCGTTCGCTTTTCCTATAACAAAAAAATATAATGTAACGTGTCGAATAAAACAACACGTAAAAAATGTTTCAAAACTTTGATAATATTGTAACTACACTTTCGGTAAGTCATGTTTAGGGATTTTACGCAATTCTTGTTGGTTAATTAATGTATTAAAAATGTTTTGTACTCACTTTGGGTTTTGCCGATGGTGTCCCAGGAGGGCCACTGCCTCCGCCGGGCATGGTGACTGCAGCTGTGACGGCTGTTAACAATATATAATTAATTACTAGCTGACCCGACAAACGTTGCTTTGCCCTATAAATAATTTTACTAAGATGGCTATTAAAAAATAAGGGTAGATCGTAGAAGGGTAAAAATTGAGGATTGTATTTTTGTATGTTGTATCATAAAAAAACAGAAATTAAAAATTTTGTCTAAAAACTATAAAAATATTGGAGTGGAAATATAAAAATAAGGGTGGACTACCCCTAACACTTAGGGGGATGAAAAAAAGATGTTGGCCGATTCTTATAGATACCGGATAAGCACAAAAAAAATCATCAAAATCGGTCAAGCCGTTTCGGAGGATAATGGCAACGAAAACTGTGACACGAGAATTGTATATATTAGATATTAAGAGATACGAATTTAGTAGTTTATCAGAATTGTGCTCAAACGATTCAAGACTAAACATCATTTCGTTGCAATAGAACATAACAAGTAAATGCACGTTGAAGTGATAATCCATGTTTTTAAAGGACGGCCAAAGTGAAAGATGAGTTTATATGAGATTAAAAATATTAAAGTATCTAAAATAACTACCAACAATTGGTAAATTCAAATACAATGAATAAAATAAGTAAGTAACACACTTAGTAAAAGACGTATGACGACATCGGTGTAATATTATTTGACGAGTGAATTTATAACTTTCGTTTTCGAAGCAATAACAGTAATATTTGACGCAACGCACTCATTAAAAAGTGAAATATTAATCAGTGTTTTGTAAGCACAGATTTATCGTTGCGTTCCATATGACCCAGTACGGTGTATGAATCACCGAAGCAACAGAGAAAGTAATAACTATTGCCGATAACTTTTACCGCGCGTGGGTTTGCGTCGCTACGACTAGGCTTCGAGTAAAAAAACCTCTAACTTAATCCAACATTATAAAGCGACAATTAAATGTGAATTAAAAGTGAAGCTTAATGGATACATCCATTAGTACAGGTTCCTTACCCAATAAACGCAACCAGTTTAAATTTTTGGGAAAATCATAATATAATGGGTATTTAACTAATTAATATGAGGTGAAAACACGCACTACAAAATAACATCCAACTCTCTAGGACTTGCAGATATTATGTCTAAATGGTTTATCGCGTTGCTTAACGTTGCCTGTAGCGCAAGAGGTCCCGGATTCGAATCTTAAGAAACATAACAGTGTCATTCAGGCAGGGTACAGAAGCCTTATCAACTGTAAGTAGAATCTGTCAACGAAACGGAAAAATAAAATATGTCCCACAATAGAAACTGGTTTTCACTTCATGCGATTTGAACACTAGCACTGTAAAATACGAATTTTCGTCTTATACTCATTAAGTACAAGAAAGTGATAGCAACGAGTGAACGCAAACGCGGTGACTGCGAGGCCAAAAAAAAGGTCATCAAAAACGGCGTACCCTCCAAAGCCGGCAGAAACGAAGACAACGACAGACATGGTATCTTGGACTTCTTCTTGGTAACCATTGGTTCGGTGTCCGATTTAGTTTGTAACATGTGAGCGACGAATCGGCCGGACGTCCGCGCGCGACATTCACAATTCACGACTAACGTTTAACGTAACGTGTCAATGTACCGTAACGAAGCTAAGACGGCGTACACAATGGAGCCTTGCTCACGACGCGACGTCGAGGCAAATTCAATGCATGGGTCTTATGATTTTGCTTTTCTATGTTTATGCACTATGTACTTAGTTTTACTGTAATTCTAATTTATATGAATTATTTTAGACGTCATATTCTACTGTATTATAAGAAACTTTACTCTTTCCATTTAGTCGGACGATTATTTTCGTACGAGGATATTTAACAGCAACAAGATATAATGTGTATTTTTAAATACAAAGTGATTTTAGATAAAAGCAGCAAATATCGGAAGTTTAAACCTGCATTAGGTTCAATGTCCGCCGTACAAACATATTGTGTAAGTGTATGCAAAGTGCATTATCTTTTATCTTACCTCAAAAGTTAAAATCTTATTTTCAACAAAAAGATAAAAATTTTATGGAATATATGGACTTTTTTGATGTAGAAGAAATAATATTTTATCATAGGCCGTGTGTTGTTGTTTTTCCATATATGAATGATGCCTAATTGAATATTATTACTCTAAACTGTATTTAAGAAGTAAAAATAATATAAATCCACAGTGAACAAAGATTTAGCTTAGGCGAGACAGTGAAGGCACCAAACGTGGTCGCATACGGCCTACATTCACCACCCGATGCGCGGGCGCATTCAAGTTTCAATAACCTATCTCATTCCCGCATGCACCGAAGCCTAGTCGCATATAAGTGACGCAATTATTAAATCAAATATTGTCTATAATTAAACTTAGTTACGATTACGATGCGATTTTAGTACGGTTATAACTATAACTGTACTAAAATCGTTCGCGCGGATTGACCGAAATATTGTAATAATAAAATGGACGCGACTGAAATTTCTTTATTCGCGGATTTCCTTGAAAAAAAATTCATATATGTAAATACAAGAGTCAAATTTGACTGAAACAGATTTGGAGGAAATTTTAAATTCACCTTTAATTTGAAAACTGACAAGCAAGACAAAATCACTTAACTTTTTAAAGCATTGTCTAAAGATAGTTAATCAAAATCTTTAATTAAATTTTAGATTTTTTAAATATTTTGTTTGTCACCTAGAAACTTATCCTCTATAACACCATATAAATGTCCATTTTGTATTTTTCTTTCTTAAATAAAACATGTTACAGGTGCACGAATAGAAGAATTGATAATATCGATAGGAAACACAGTGGCGCGATACTTGGAGTTACTAATCTCGCCAGTTTCATTTCATTCATTTCAACTTTTTGAAACTCTTCTAAAAACTTTTTTGATATAAAGATAATCAAATGAGGAGGAAAAATATAATTATATCTGTTTTAATACAACAATAACTTGCGTCTGGGAATTGTAAATAGTGATGAGAAACAGTAATGACTCAAAGCTTTCCAGTTTCATTTCAAAGAAAGTGAACCGTACAAAAAAAACGAGGACACGTCTTGTCAATCACTTCATAAATATAGCACACGTTTACTCGAACACGAGGCATTGCATATTAAACAATGCAACAGAAAAATGTTCTTAATATATAGTATTTTGTTATAGAACGAATAGTAAAGCAACACGACACGCTATGGTGAGTTTATCAAGTCTAATAATGTTAGTCTTTAACACGAAATTTAGTAAAGCAACTTTTTAATTTATGTTAAAAAAATTTAATTAAAAAATTTTAACTTCGGCCTCGTCTCCTGACGACACGGCTGCAAAGCATACGTAGCCGAAGTTAAACATTATCAAATAAGTTAAACTAACATTTCGCGTTTTAAACGTTAAGTGTTTTATAAACACTCGCGTAAAAAATAGAGAGAATATATAGTGTATCTTTTTCAGTTCCCCCCAGGGGTTTTTTTAACTGTATTGACGTTCATAAATCTCGTTATTTAAGTTGATACAACAAATTCCCCTCAAAGTACCTATATTTGAAAATCATACGCATAGGGTACCTACATTTTATATTCGCACAAAATATAATATAACATTTGGTAAGACATTTGTTCTACAGAAATTCTGCGAATAGGTTTATAGTAATTATGTAGATATAATACACAAGACTGAAGCAATTTTAGCCCACAGCGTTCTTATAATTATCTTCATACTCACCTGACTGCTTTATAGCTTGAGATAAGACCAGTCTTATGTGTAACTCGGGTCGATAAAACATCATGCATATGAAGTACAGAATTCGTAATTACTACTAAGTCAATAGTAGGTACAGTACTTATTTTAATGTAAAATACTCTTTGGTACAGTTTTTACGACCCAGCTTTTATAAATATCTTTTGTTTTGGTTATAATCTGTGTCAAGTGTCTTTTATGTTTTATTTTTTAGAATAAGTAAATGCGCTTTAACCTTGTTCAGCTCTTTTTATTTCGATCAAAGAAACATACCAAGTGAAATTAATTAAAGTATCGTTGAAAACGCCCAATTTTTGGATCTCATTTTTGTAAAGCAGAAATTTTAAATGAAGTACTTTCAGACCTCCGTAGTAAACGGTTAACGAGTTCCTGGGTTCGAATTCCGAGAACAGATGTATGATCAACTAAGTAAAGTCGATTAGTGAAACGGACACAAAACGTATTCGCCCCATGGCCCACGGGGGAAAGGGGCTTTCACTTTATAACCATTAAATAAAAATATAAAAAATCACATATCTAATGAAATTACAGATTAACCGAAACTTTGGCTTAGCACAGAAACACGACCACTTGAATTGGCCGAATATCCCAGAAACAAAGGATTTTCAACAAAAAAAAGTCTAAACATACGGAACTGAAATTAGTATTTAACGTAGACTAATTGCGAAACAAACTGTCTCATTAATAAATGATCGACGGCTAGGTACGGTGACAAATGGAAAGAAAATGCAAAAAGATTGATACTAACTTAGACTAAGATTTGTTGGTTCGTGTAATATGAGCTGTAGATCGGGCTCCGGCAGGGGCCAGACGGCGGTGAGGGCGCAACCCGGGGCTGAGCGCCGTTCCGCGTCGCAACAAGACCAGCGGCGTGCCGCCCACACAGCGGGGTGGTAGCGCGCCCGACGCGTGTTCGATATGCACACTGCGTTGCAAAGATGTGTCTGTATTAACAGCTCGGAGGAATACTAATGGGATGATTATAAATCGACTAAAAACACACTATATTATATTGCTATAAGACTTTGGCTTTAAGATGACGAATAAACACGTCTATGTTCAAGGGATAAAGAAGTTAAATATATATAGATTATAATTATAAACGAATATATGAAGCCGCTGGAGCTAGAGTACCCTAACTGCAATTTTATGACTTGACTCATTTGTATTTTTATTGTCTAAAAATGTTAATCTACAAAGCACAGTGATCAAAAATTGTTAACATAATTCTTACAAAAATAATAGGACAAATTCTTTTTCGCCTAAGTCAATTGCGTTTTTTTTGTTATTAGGCCACGCTGTCTCTAGCAGCCTTATATAACACTCTACTTGGGGCAGTTTGAATAAGGAATCGTCTATTTAGGGTTATATATCGTACAAATACATAATACCCATATTTCCCTTAACAAAAGGTTAAAAATGATACCATAGTTTACCAAACAACGAATCCACAATGTTTTATATTATAATAATGTAATTATTTTATGTTTGTGATATAATTTCCTGTTCGAGTTTTTACATAACTTTTTATCGACAACAAATCACAAACTGTAGGAACTGTGGTGAGTCACTGCATTTTAACATTCCACATTGTGGTTTTGGTGACTACACCAAGTTAAACATAAAACTTTCTGGCACGCCACTAATGTCGAATATTGGAGGAGATTTTGTAATGAAAGACGGTTTTCGAGTAGAAGGGATGCCAGGGAAAATAAATAAAAATATTTTATTGATTTGTGAAGCAAGTAATTTAAAAAAACTATATATCCGGAAGGTATTTTTAGTATTAGGATTTCCAAAGCCAAAAATATTATGTTTTGATAATTAATCTTGCATCAAATTAACAGCACGCCTGTCTCTTTTCCTTTATCATAAGAAGAGACACTTACCGCCTTGAATACTGGGCTTAGCTTGTTTAGGTGTTTGGACATATATTTAAGCAATGTAAAGTATGGACCTTAGTGGAAACTGGTGAAAAAGAGGTTAGCAATAGCATTTCTTACCTGTCCTAATATCATGTATCCAATTCAATCTCTCAGAATGTTCGCGTGCAGCCAGGTACAACGTGTAGTCTGTATTCTGCTCCGTATATCCCACCTGTGCACAATCTGCCATATGTTATGTCGTCATGAATACGAGTTGCATGCAATTCCTCTATTGTCACAGACATGTATTTTCGTTACTAACAGACCGATACGAACAAATACTTTGAATTATATATGCAAACTATTATTACATGGCACATATTAAAAAAGCAGATAAAATTTTAATAAACTAAATTATTTTATAAAACTAAACTAATAAAAAATTAAACACCAAATAAGGTCTAGTATTTTATCCTGCTTAATTTCACTGATAGCACCTACATGTTCTCTCAAAAGCTGTGTTAATTTTATGCTTTGAAACTTCTTAGTTTAAATGTCACAGATAGGACAGTACAGTCCTTTTGTTGTGCCAAATGAGCTACCGTGTCATCATTTTTTTTTTCTTTGAGTAAATTAGATTTTTTATTACCCATACTCAGCATGCATTAATTAAAAATATATAATTATATTTAAATAAAACACTTTAACGGTTTTAAATCGCGATATATTACCGTTAGCCATGGTCACGGGAAAACTCCCCATGACCACGGCTGTTGTAAAGCATCCGAAATGTCGGTCCGAAGTTAAAAATCATTTTCAAATAAGTTTAACTAATATATCGCGTTTTAAACCGTTAAGTGTTTTATTTAAATGTGTACTACTCGCGTAAACTATATACAGTATTTATATAGTTGTATATTAATCTCGTAATAAAATATTTTGCAATTAAAAATGTTTTATTTAGTCAAATAAAGGAATATTTTTGGCAAAAGTGTGTAGTTGTGATCGTAAGATTACCTGGAAAGGGTATCTATAACTTGGTGCCTTTTCGTTGTCACCATCCGGTATCTGTTTGCTAAGTTCCCCTAGTTGAGCTTGTTCCACTGTGTGTATAGTATCAGTTGAAATACGCCCTCGCTCTTTGCGTTTCTGCGGAGAAATTGTTTCTGTAAAACTAAAACTTCATTCTTCTCATATCGGACTATCCTATATAAGCGCGTTCGATAGAGAATATTAATCTATTTACACATTATAGGTAAAAAAGAACAAATTTTACGACGAAATGTCTAAAAGATTACTTAGTATATATTTTCTTTAAAAAGTAATAACGAATAATAACATTACGAGATGATACGTAGCAAAAATTAATTGCTCCTAATGATTACGTGAGAAAACATGCCCGATATAAAATACACAAATAAATTCCTTTTCACAGGGAGATCGATAGCACCCCGGCAAACATAATTACAGAACGCAGATCTGTACCACGTCGTAACATTTCGCAATAGGAAAATGGCGTCAACGATTGATTAAATAACCGACGATAATCTGTGATAAGTATCGCTATTGTTTTGAAAATTTACACAGAGAAACAGTGGATACAAATCAACACACACGCGCGGCTTGAATAAGCACTCGTGTGAGGGTCCTCCATTAAGACTGTTCACACAGGAACCACACTCCCTGTGCCGATGCATACATTATCATGAAGGGGCCTCTCTCCCTCATTATGAACTTACGCAAAGAGTAACTTCAACGGCGTAACCGAATAGAAGCGTACTAGAGGCGTTAGCTTTTTTAGTTCAACTTTATCATACGACTACATAATGGAAGACTTGAAATGAATCCTTCCTTTCTTTGTTAGAGCTTTGCGGCGTTTTTAAAGCGTAATCTTAATATAAGCCGGTATTATTATTTGCATAAAACTAAAAAACGATAAGAACGAACGTTTAAGGACTATTATTTTTCCTATTCACACCGCCGCCTACATCGACCATTCCAAAAAAGAAAATGTACCTACTATACTAAGGTTTAAATACCACGTAGGTCTACTTTAGGAGATAATTAAGACGATGGCAGAATATGGTATACGAAAACTTATCTAATAGCCGGCTAACACTTACAGTTATAAAATCTCTACGCATGTTTAATAAACATTTTACATATTTTTAAAAATTAGGAACTTGAATGATTCGCACATCCACAATTTATTGTTAATTTATAATGAAACGAACTTACCACGAACACTAAGCAAATAGATGATCTTTTATGTTAGGTAGACTCTAAAACTGTGAATAAACCTTTACCGGAAGAAAAGGGCGATGAACGACAGAACTGCGGCTTGCGGCGCTGGACTGCCGGCGGACCCCGTTTCATTTAGCTGACACGCCCAAACCGCGCATGCGTCTTTCGACCCTTTCCTATTTCCACCCTAGCCCCAACCACCCAACTTCTTAATGCGCTCGTATTTGATTTTACTACAGGACGAATCATGTTTTTGTCATAGAACCACAAAAAAAATATGTTCAAACAAAATAATAAAAGCTCATACAAACTTAGAAAGGAAGTAAATATCCTGTTCTTTTGAATCAATCAAATTCATCTATCCCCTCCCTAAATTATAATAAAATTATTGAGTTAAAAGGAAGTTATTGTCCAGTTATGATTTTAACAACTATTTCTCTTAATAAAAAAAAAACAGGCCAAATCTTATTCTTATAATTTCACCCAGTTCCCCATTTTCCCCCCAATGGCTGAAATGCATTTATTGGGTAAACCCAAAGTAAACCTAAAGACAGATTCATAAAAAAAACAGTAGGACTATATAAATCTTTGATAAACTTACTTTTAATTTACATCCTTGCAGCAAAAACAGTTTTTGGATATTAATGGTTAGAAGTAAAATATTCTATGAAACATGCTGATGTTAGTTTTATGAAGTATTCATGAAAGCATTTTATTATTTATCTCAATGTAAATCTTACTTGTCCATCTGAATCATAGTAGATTAATGCTTTTCGAGTGAGAACAAACCAACGCTCCTTATAGTTGACTGGTGTAAAAATTTTCTTATTCTGGGATCTCTTAACCATAAATGTTTCCCGAAGAACTTCATCTTCAGCAGTACCAGCCATTATACAATACCTACATACAAATACACTTAACATATCTAACATATAGAGGTAGTAGCGTTTATTTTAATGTTTTCTATTGAGTATTTAATCTACTACAAAAGTTTGAATTTAAGTATAAACAATTTTATTAAATTACAGTAAATTGTAACAATTTTCCAAAATATCGTGTAATCTATGTACAAATATTTAAATTTTTCTTAAGTTATAATCATTCCAATAAAAAATAGTAAATAAGGGCACAATACAGAAAACTCAAGTTAATCAAAATAATTTTTAACCAGCAACTAGTAACATAAATGTTAGAAAAATATTACCCGCTAATACTTACTAAACAAAATACACCGCTCCAAAAAGGAACATAATAATAAGGAATTCTTCGTCTAGTTCAATTACTTTTTAAACTCGCTGCATTTATTTATTTTCATTTAAATAACACTTACACACATGTAAGACACTAACTCTTTTTGTAGGTATCCAGCTTTTTTAACGCCCAATACTCTGTTTACAAGTTTAATGATATTTTCAATTTTAATTAAAACTAATTTACACAGCTACCAGTTGTAGACAAGTAATGGTGGGACCGTAGACAGATGATTAAAGCAGATAATTGTCTGCCTTCACGAATATTATCTGCGTAACACCTTTACCTGTGGATGCGTATAGTACCGTGGTTCAGTTTATATATTTTCTTAATAAATCTGAAAGCCTGGTTAAAAAATGATTATATTACAAACTTTTTCCAAGTTTGGTAATAAATCATCAAACTAATACTAGAATTACAAGATTACTTTCCCCAAAAACTAATTTCCAGCAAGTTTCAACGGACTAGATTTTACCTACACCTTAATACCACAGTTATATGTACTATAATATTTTTGCATTCTATGGTTGAAAATTTGCATTCATTGGTAAATTGTTGGTAAATTTAGTACCCATATACGACATTAATGAATGTTTGTCTTTATTAAATATATTCTTTCCTTATAGTTGTAAGTGTGTAAATGTTTTACCCTTTTGCTGGAAGTCTCTAAAATTCAGTATTCTACGATTCTGAATACTAAAGATAGGTACCAGAATTCATAGCAGAATTAAAAATTACTACGTGTGTTTTAGTTTTGTATTCTAATTTGCTATTTATTGCTAAATTATTTCTTTGTCATAGTCTATCCTATAACTATTGCTTAACAAAATTACAGGATCACCATGTCTTCGGAAACTGCGCAAGTTAGTTCCTTACCTCTGCCTCCCATGCAGTATATAAATTTTTACACCGATGAAAATGTGAGAAGGAATCGTGCACCTCTACCACCAAGACCTATCCATGATACATATTCTATGTTTGGAAACACATTTAATGCAGATGATACAATAATTCGGTCTCTAGAAAGTCAGGTAAAAAATTTAAGTTTAAAAAGTATGACTAACTTATAATAAAATGCAACCTCATTTATAAAATAAATATTCAATGTATTGCAGGGCTTTCGAAGATTATATCCTATGCACTTTGAACGTAGAAGAGAACTGAAAAAGCTAAATCACTCCTTACTTGTTAATTTTCTTGATCTGTTAGACCTGTTGGTGCACTGTCCAGATTCACCTAAACGTGCAGAAAAAGTGGAAGATTTAAGTCTTCTATTTATACATATTCACCATTTATTAAATGAATTTAGGCCCCATCAAGCTCGTGAAACTTTAAGGGTTATGATGGAGTTACAAAAGCGTCAAAGAGTTGAGACTGCTATGAGGCAAGTTTTTATTTACTATTTAGTTATAACAACACAATTTCTTCTTGAAGCATTGCATTCTCCACCATCAGCCTGAAAAACAACAATTTGCTGAATCATGGAAAGCCTTACACAATTTATATTCTCTTTGTTAGCACTGTCTTTTTTACCAGTAAACTACAATGCTTTGTACCTTTTGTGCTTGTAATGAACTGGTGTTACTGTGAAGATAAAACATATTTTATTACAAAATAAAATATACCCTTTTAATGATTAATTATAAATTCTAAAGTCCTTATTGTTTTTTTACAGGTTTCAAAAGCACTTGGACAAAGTGCAGGATATTTTGCAAAATGCTCTCCAAAGTTTGCCAGATCAAAATGAAGTCGAGGCTAATTTCAAAGTACCAACTGAAATATTGGAACAAATTGAATGTAATCCTAATGACATTTCCAATCCTGATCCATGTTATGATTTAGATTACATAATGTGTAATGTTATAGATAATATGAGATAACTTTAAATATCCTAGTTTTAAAAAATCACTTGATTTTTGTAAGTCTTTAATATCTAAATAAGTATTAATAAATAAAATAATTATATCCTAATTTGTTTCCTATGTCTGTTAGGATCAATAAAACTCCATATTATTTGTTAATAAAGGTTTAATTCAAATTATAATTTATCTGGCATTTGTTTCTTTAGTTAGAAAGAAACAGTATATCTGAAATAAGATCGGATTAGGATCTCGGACACAGCAACCACTACTGAAATATATTGAATACTTACGCTATCTTACTGCCTTGTTTCTGCTAAATCTATCATGACTATTAGAACCTCCACATTTCATACTTACGTTTATTAGAGAACCAGTAGTTGCACCCTAAGAAACAAGTCTACTGCCATCATGTGCCTAACATAAAAGACTTCGAAATCAGTTATAACACATTTGTTGATCTACTATTAGCAAACCCAATCAAAATAAATCATTTCCATCTGAAGGAGAATTTTGACAAATCCATACCCCATTATTTACATTATGATATTAAGAATGATACCGAAGTTTCACATCCATGTCTGATACTGTGTTGTCTCAAATATGAAATACCTACCCAGCCCAGTATTTTTTTTTCTAATTCGCCTGAATTACTTTGTAAAATCTATTTTCAACTAACGATTATGACTACCAGAAGATATGTTGCATGATGACTCCATATATCCTTACTCAATATTAACTATGATACTGCAGAAGAAAGGCGACAAAGACACAAACATTCTCTAGAAGCAAAAATCTAATCCTTATACACATATTTAGTAGAATCATATGATAATTTATTTTAACTACAAATTTTTGCAGCTATAACCGATTTCGATTTATTTATAGGTATACTTACAGTATCAGAAGATACCAGGAGAGTTATCAAATTTCTCAATCAGGAGCTGGACCTGGAAGATAATAAAATAGATCTGCATCCAAGCATAACTAGAACCAAAGATAGACAACCTCATGATGACAAGAACTCCGAAACATAATTATACATCCAAATTCACACACAGTCATGTCATATTTTCAGTCAAAGTCTTAGTGTTTTGTATCAGTTAGTAATTACTACGTCTTCTGTAAGAAGAGCCATTATTGCGAAAGTCACGTCGTCCGTAACTTCCCCTGCCCCTCCCAGAGTTTCCACTCATAAAGCGACCGGAGTTTAATCTTGAGCTGTATTTTCCAGATGGAGGAGTATACATCTTCATATTTCTGTCACCACTTTTCGAACGCTTTTCAGGGGATTCTTTTTTCTCGCCGTTGTCAAAAGTTATTGGTCGGTGTCGCTTATGTGCACTTTCTTTGTCCTCTGAGGGGGCATTTACTTTTTCCTGTAAATAAGGGTTTTGGTGAGGAATATGTTAATCGCAACAAAATGGAATATTTTACATACACCTTAAACACGTACATTCGTAGCAATAATATTTTTTACGTGTCGTTAAATACACTCACCTCCTTTTCCTCCTTCTTAACAGTTTGGAATGATAGCTGTATTTTGCTCTTGAAACTTGGAGGAGTGCGGAATATATCACGAATCAAAGTGTTGATATTGGAAGTCGTTTTTAGTGCTGCTATTTTGAGCTTGTTTTCATCAGTATTAGCTTCTTCACCCTTTTTACCCTGGATAAAAAATCATACAGTCAGGCTTAAAATAAGTGATATATTTTAACTAATCATGAATTTCGAAAGTTTTGTAACAAAGCTTCTATTTAATCTACCTTACCTGAGTAACTTCCTTTAACTTTTTAATGTAGCCTTGTGTTAGCCGTGCTGTATATTGTAATCTCAAGCGTAAAGCCTTCAATCTTGTTGCATCGGCACCAAAAGCATCTGGTGATTTCTTGCATAGTGAGTGTAGTGCATACAATGCACATTCAACATGTGAAAACTGTAAGGATGGCGCCGTGGATTTGTCCTCATCAGATTTTTCTTTTTCCACATTTTCTTCTTCATTAGGTAATGGCGCTTCAGGTAGATATGTCTGCAATGTAAGAAACAAACAATTACTATCAAGTCAAAACCAAAAGAAACATATTCTTCATCCTGTAATTTTCATTTAGCAGATAAAAATGAGGTAATGTTCTAAGCATAGTACATTTCTTACAAATGCTTACCATTAAAACATCATACACAATATTGATTTTCTTCTCAATTTCTTCTATTTCACCACAGTGTTCAGTGAGCTCAGCAAAGGTTTTTAGGATATCCAGTTTCAGATCTGTCCCTCCACCCGTTGTTGCAATGTCATTCCATTTCAGTAGAACATGATCACAAAAGATATTTACAAATTGTGTTGAGTCAACCTGTGCCTGGAACAAAATTGCGGGTAAACATAAGCAAAGCCCCTGTGCTTCATGATACTTGAGTTATACAGGTGTTCTCACTATATACCAAGTAAACCATCTTTGTAAAATTAAAATTGACAATTAAATTTCTGGGGACAAGTTTCTTGCCAATGCTATTGATTTGTTTTTAATTTAAAGTATTACTAGGAAATTTAATTGTCTTTTTACATTGAATTGCAGATTGTATGTAAGTACCCCTAAATAAACGAGCAGTCACATGAGTTTTGAATTTAAATGGACAAACACCTTAAGTTACTGTATAATATTAAAAAGTAAATTATAAATACTAAATCTGCAAGTTATCTAATGCTTATCAGGAGAAAAACCAGTATAGATAATCGTTTACTTTGAACTATTTGTCCTAAAAGCATATTACAAGCACAAAGGCATATGCAACTTGTCTGTCTTACCGTAAATAAAGGCAACGCATGTTGAGAGCACTGTATTAGTCTATCCACATATTCTGGGTCTTCGGGATGCCAGTCATCAGAAGAAAAAGCTAGTGCAGCTATTATTTGTGTCAATTCTTTCTTACCGGCTGGTGTTTTGCCAAGCCGTGACCAAGTTAATAAATCCATAATGTGCTCAAACTCTTCGGCAACAACATCCTATAATAAGTAATAAACAAATATCCTATGAAACTATCAGCAACAGGGACAATAAGTTCAACTGAATTTTGAATCAATTAAAATTATAAATGTTCCGGAGAAAAAGATTGCATTATAATAGGCACTAAGAAAAGAAGTTCAGAAAATATAAAACCTTGCACTGTTGGTATTATAATACAAGAAAATTAAACAATTAGTTAATGCCTATAAAGACATTTGTTTTTTTCTTTTTATAATTTTTCCCTTTTAAAAACGTATCTCACCTCCAGTATTTTCTTGCCTTCAACAATAATCAAATCTTCAGCCTCCTTGTTAATAACTTCCCTACCAAGCTGTTTAACTTTAGTAGCCATAAACTTAATACATCTTTCTCTAACAATTTCATTTGGCACCTCGCTGTCTGTACTTTGATGGATTTGTGAAAAAAGACCTGCTAGAGCTGCGCGAGGTTCAATTTTTATAATAGCAAGCAAAGAATTAGTCACAACGTTAATTTCAGTGGAATCTTCAGATTGCATTAGCTGTGCCAATATATCAGCAATTCTCTGTGTATGCTCTTTATTGCTTTTACACATTACGGGTAGTTCTTTTATTGCTTGTTTACGAATCTAAAACATAAAAAAGCGTTACTTTGCAGTTTATACACTAATAAAAATTTCTATGTACAGAAAGTTAGGTCAAAATAAAATACGCATACCGCTACGTCATCATCTTCACAAAGATCAAATTGAGCTTCAATAGCTTGATCAGCCAAGTTAGGGAAACTGTTAAAAAACTTTGCGATGAACTGTGACGCTAGTCGCTTCTCTTTGTCTGATCCTTTAACAGCAGCTAATATTTCCAAATATTCTTTTTCGTGCTATAAAGGAAAGCAATCGTAAATAACTATATCCTTGGCGTTCTATTCAAGTCAAAACTTTTATTTTATAGGTTACCTTGGAGATATCATCTTTGGCGTCGGCGAGTATTCCGTAGTTTTGATACAGTTTTTCAATGTTATCCGTAGACATTTTATTATTTTGAGTCGAAATATTTAGATAATGAAAATAGAAGCTAAGCTTTAACAAATGTTTAAGACTTAAATAATTATGATTAGTAAACGGGATACGATTTTACAACACGAAGGGGTTATGATTATCTCATTAGCCTTTATATAAACCAAAGACAACGAAGAGTAATAGATGTGGGACAAGAGTACGGACTAAACCAAATTTATTTTTTTACCAACTGCCATATACTCGATGCAAGTCTTTTCAATGAGGCGAACCATAGACACAAATAGTGTTGCCAACAATGTGTTCTAATTTTCTACAATTCATTTTCTAATTCAATTAAAATTTAAATAAAATTACTTCTATCGGAAGTTCTTTCGATTAAAAAGTAAGATTTTAAAAGTATAGACGCAATTATTTTAGTATCGTTATAGACAGGAACATTAATATCTTGTTCCATACAAGAGTCACAATAGTGCGAGAATCACCAGAATGTTCTTATACAAATAAGCCTTTAATGATATTCCCTATGTTATAATTTTGTTTATCCCACAAAATACACACACATCACGTGATATGAACATTCCCAAGTTAAGGGGACCATGACACTATGAAGTGTGGCAATAATACAATCACAGACTAAAAACATTGACCAAAAGATACAAATCCATTTTATACATTAAAAAAACGTTTTTAAAAACGTAAATAAATCTTTATTTGATCTGTGCTTAATTTTCATTGATACATTACAAAAAAAGTAATAAGTATTAAGTACCATCGACCGATTAAGGAAACTTCGATTAAATACCTACTGAACATTAATTTTTCTTCGATTTGGAAAAAATAAATAATCGTGTTTTAACATCGGGTTTGATAATTTTTAAGACGGTGCATAAAAATAACTCTCGAATTAACGTTTTATTCAATCAGCGAAATTAGTTTCACGGCTTCAAACTCAGTTAATGGAAAACAAATTTGAATCAGCTATTTTAGATGAAGTAACCATAGTAACTGTTTTGTGACGCCTTATAAAATTCAAAAAAAGAAAAAATAATCACGATGACGTGTAGGCCATGGTACCTAGCTCAATTGGTTAAAGCAACATCATGGAAGGCTGTGGATACCGGTTCAAGTCTTGCCCGTATCGTATTTTTTTTCTATTCGAACTTAAAGTTCAATTCTATTATTCTTCATAATAGTTTTAAATATTGGGAAGTATGTAGTATGTATGTAGGTACTAGATATGCGTCGAGTAACACATTTGCCGAGTAACACAAGTACCTACCGAGTTATACTCGGCTAATTTTTTGTAACTCGTTTCAATCAAATTTCCATTTCGCGCGCGTAAACAAGTAGGTACAAATAGGTCGCGCTCGTCTACTCGTTGCTACTCATTCATTAGTATAATTTTGATTTTTTGATTTCAGTTTTTCAAAAATTTCCTAAATTACTAAGAAATACTTTTGAATCAACACTGTTGTTTTAATGATATTTACCTAAATATATTGCTTTTCTTAAAACAAAGTATACTCGTTATCAAATAACAAAGTATTCGTACTCGGCCGAATAACTCGGCCGAGTACGAATCCGAGCCGAATACGCAGAGTACCGAGTATCAATCGTGTAAGTACTCGTCCCATCTCTAGTAGGTACAATGCATCTCAATGCCAAACGTGTTATATTAAGGCTTTCTATAAAAATATTATGTATACAATATACATCATATTTTTATCGTTTTATGTTGTGATAATTATTTATAATGTCCTTTGACTGTAGCTTTACATTAGGGTAATAATATGTACCTACTATGTAACATAGGTGAAACAAATATTGAGGTAGTAAAATTGCCTTTTATCTCAATAAATACCTTATTACCTATGCATTTTGAACAAAATACTTACTTACAAATTTTAATGACACGAATTATGAATAACGAATTTTTACGAAATGTCAAATGTGTAATTATTGATAGTGATGTAAGATGTCTAGTGTAGTCTTTTTTTACTTAGATACCTACGCGATATTACCTCCTAATTATGAGTTGGTAGTAGGTATATAGCTAACCGTATAGAAATATGTATATAAAAAACTGCTCAATGACAACAGAACTAAGTACCTACCTAGGTACCTACTAAAAATAGTAGTTCTTAGAAATCAATTTTGTATGTTATGGACAGTAGGTAAGATTTTTATAAGACATAATTATTAACTAAGTAGACAGTACTTGACAATAATTAATTGTGTTACTGCCAGAATTTTTCATCAATTAACTATTAAAAAAAATATATAACACAAACGCAAATCTGTAATAACAAAAAAAGTAGAACCACGCAACTACGCGTCGTACCTACGGGCAAGAGCAAAGTATGGTATTGTATGGTTATTTTCAGTGTTCTATGATAGATAGATTGCTATGCAATCGGGTGAACATAATCTTCTACCTACCTAAGATAATTACTACCTAATCTATCTTGGTATAAAAAGTTTAAGTGCTTAGGTAGGTAGGTATTACTTAAAACGCTGTCTTAACTATCAACCACGTGTAAATAATCTAATATATAAAATTCTCGTGTCACAGTTTTCGTTGCCATACTCCTCCGAAACGGCTTGACTGATTTTGATGAATTCTAATCAATGAGAATCGGCCAACATCTTTTTTTCATCCCCCTAAATGTTAGGGGTAGTCCACTCCAAATTTTATTTTTTATTTTTAGACAAAATTTTTAATTTTTTTTTGTGATACAACATACAAAAATACATACAATCTAAAATTATTTATATGGCAACGTTTGTCGGGTCAGCTACTACCTAATATATAACAATAAATCTTTTATTTCAGTTTTCAAAAGCAGTGTATGTAGGTATATATAGATTACTGAATGTGCTAACTTAACTAAAGTAATTTTGTGAACACAGTAGGAAGATGAAAGATTTTAAGAAAATTTAGGACTTATATTAAATTGTTGTTAATGCAAACCTCTCAATCTCAACCTCAAACTTACCTAGATTTTATTGGTCTGTACATTATGTTTAAAGAAGGTAATTTAATAAAACTAGACAAAAGATTCAATATCTATATTTCTTATATCATCGATATGTTCTGCATGGCCACCTAGATTTTCACCTCCGTAATTTAATCACACCAGGAATCGTAACAAGAATCTCTTGTAAACACGGTAAAAATGGCCGAGTTGCGTTCATTACACGCGGCGCTGTCCATTATTTTAGTTGTAATTAGGCAAATTCACAAATTGAACGATAGTAAAGGGCGTGTCGGCGCGCGAGAGTAGTTTATCAAGGCGGAGATTTCAAAGGCCCGCCGCTATTGGCCGATGGGAATCCGCCTTTTGCCCCACTCCGTACGCGGTCACGCGGGCCCGAGACGATCGCGTTTCGACGCCTCTTCCTTCAGTCTACGGACGTCCCGCGTCGCAATTTACGTGTCTAAGAGCGCGAGTGTTGTGCCGTGTGATTGTGATGGTAGGACGGTGATCGAGCAATGGTGAATTACGTCAACCCGCTCGCCATGTACCAAGGCAAAGGCGGGCAGTACGGCGCGAGCGGCTGGTATGGCTGGCAACATCAGAACTTTGAGGAACAGCAGTGGTGTGCTTGGAACGGCGCGCCGACGGAATGGCCGACGGACCCTCATCATTTCAAACGGGAGCCCGGCGAGAGGGATATCGCGGAGATGCCGTCTCCTGCAAGAGGAGACCTCGCAAGCCCCGGGGAAGGCTCGCCCGGATCGAGACCGTCGCAGCCGCCGGCACCCCCTCGCTCGCCCTACGAATGGATGAAGAAGCCGAGCTATCAGTCACAGCCCAATCCAGGTTTTTATTTCTTTTGTTTATCTTTACATACTTATATAATGGTTTCTCCGGACCCTGATATGCTGATTAAGACGCAGACTTAGAGAACTAAAACTTGAAGCGTGTGCTCTTTATACCGTATATAAAACACGAATTTGTACATTATCAAGTTTTACTTAGATGTTAATTAAATAACGGTTATGTTAAACTTAATATGTATTAAGATTATTTATTTACTTTTAGAGTTATAATGCAAGTAACACCGCGTAGCACCTAAGTTATTAATTTAATTGGTTGGTAGGTGTTATTTATTTATATCATGTCAACTTGATTCGTCAAAATTTATAACTCCCTGAATCATTTTACGTCTAGCGTTAATTTGTTTACTATTAAAATAAAATTAGTTACATACTCAATATCTTATCTGCTTTACTTATGTTTTTGTCTAGTTAAGAATATCAAAAGCACAAGAGTATTCGAATTTTTATCGCTGAACAGAAATCGAATATTGAACCATGACTACATACCTAATTAGTATCGCTTATTAAGTACTTAAATATTATATTAAAACGATGGCACTAAGATTACTAAAAACTCAATTTTCTCTTATTCATGGTTGTTGGTTAGGATAGATAATTTAGTTGTCTACCTTAACATAATACATAGTAGGTAAGTAGGTTCAACAATTGACACGGAATTCCTTGAAATACATACATAAAAAGTCATCCTATCACAGTTTTATTAATATATAATAGCAATGAATGTTATGATACATAATAAATAACTAGCTGTAATAGATAGTAAGAAGATTATACCTACCTCTCATAATGTATATAATGCATTGAATATAATGTAAACAGTTCATAAATCAGCTACGAACTCTTCCCTTGAAAAAATACCTAAAAGAAATGTTATAAGTAGGTAACTTTTATCCGTACGCTTCGCTTTTTAATAAACATTGTTTGTTTATAGGTAAATGAATTTTAGAAATTATACTTAATTTAATTAATAGTAGTACATCTACTTACTACTGATTTTTCACTAAGTAGGTACTTTACCCGATGTGATATGTATATAGTAAAAAATTACATCTTTTTTGGTACTTTGTCATGAACGCTTAGAAGATAAAATAAATAGTAGCGTAACCTATATTTTATTTAACAAGTTAATAAAATCAGGAAATATCGTAATAAAAGGCGGTAGCTTATATTAGTTCTATTATAAATTACCTACTTGAAAAAAATATTTATAAACATACACAGGTGAGAACCCACGATAGTAGTCTAAAAATATTAAAATAACTACAAAAACTATCCCTTGCAACAGAGATTCTTGTTTAATATGTATGGTGTTAATTATTTATTAATAACAGTACCTAGATATAGCAAAAAATAAAACGCTAAATAGGTACCTATAATAATAACAAATAAGGGAGTAGCTACAGTAAAGTAAATACAGATGGTATATTCGAAAGTTTAAAGTAAAAACGGATTGGTAATTAAAACCTAAACCTTCTAATAAAAAAACTGAAACACCGCATCGGAAAATCTAGCTCTTTTCCTTCGATCAATATAATAAATTACTTAATAGCTAGCAATGACCTCTAGTTGATCATGATATAAGTGACCGAAAACCGGAAAAATATCCGTTACAAGGAAGGTCAAAAAATCTAGGTTTACTAGCTTTCAAATGGATGCGCTGCCGTGTCGAATTGAGATTCTTTGGCGCTTTGTGTTTCTCGAATTTTATTGCAAATATTTTATGCTGTCGATTGGCCAGTAGAACCTATTAACAACATAATAATTAACGACCTAGACAACTAAATAAAACGAGCTAAAAACTGTTAGGTCGATACTAAGTATGGTATGGAAATCGATAGGTTATATCTATGGTCTGTGTCAATACGACTAAAGAACCAAAATAATAATACATCCGTTTATTAACCAAAGACATATCTATTTTTTTATAACCTGTTCTACAATGTCCAAAAGACTTACTATAAATGTATAGGAATGCTATTGTTAACATCAAAATTAATCAATTAATATATTTTATTAAATTGATTAATCTTTATAAGAAAAATCGAATGGATCCGAGATCTATAGCTTACCCACTCATAAGATGTAACATTATATATACATACCGATCTACATGCCTTTTTTATATAAAAAAAAAACTAGTACAAGTAGGAACTAGTTCTAGTAAAGTTTTTATAGTAAAAGAAAACCTTTTTATGTTGCTTGCCACATTTAATACTGTTACAATTCCTAAAAGATATAAATACTTTATTAACTTCACGTTGTTTCTCATGGTAGCATTTGAATTAACAATTAATAATTTGACCTACAGTGTCTCAATTGATAGAATAGAGCAGCAGCACGTATCGGCTGTGGATACGGATCGAGTCCCGCCCGGGTCATACAATTGTTTCAAACTAAAATACTTATATATTCTACTTATAATTATTATTTTCGAGTTCTTAACGTCAGTACTAAAAATAATTAGGTCAATTTGTAGTAATATTTGCGAATACTTTGTATAACACCATTTTTAGTATTTTTTACACCCAATAGTATCTGCGTAGGCGCAAGTATTTTAATTCATAAACAGTACATTTTATTGAGGCAATTGTGAAGTTTAATCTGTATTGAGCAATAAAAGAAACTAATTAATGTTTTATCTATTTTCATGTACTTACTCAATGATGAAGGAATAATAATAATGGGTATGTAATATGCTACTAAATGTGCATTATGATTTATTTAAATGTATCCGTTATCGATCTAATTAGTCATTTATGATAAGTCCTAATTGTAAGGAGATAAGGTCATCCATGTTACAAAAATTCTAATACACATTTTTAGTACCTACCTACTCTTGAAATAACTGATTTTGAAATTTAATAATGAAACTCCGTTCAGGTCACAAGTTTAACCGCGTTACGGTTTCAGCCTGGGTTTCTAACATACAAAGTCAAAATAGGTCGATAACCCATCTTGTTTAGATGTCTACTCTATGCTTGTGTGTCATCTATCAATAAAAAAATAGCGTTAGTAGTAAGTAGAAAGAAGTTGTAATAGACCATGGCGAAAACTACCAGACCAACTTTTTTAAATAAGTAATTTATCTTATTATAAATATTTTTAAACATAAAAGAATTGAGATTCTCAACGATAAACACTGGCGTATTTGACATCTATCTATCCGTCATTGTAAATACTATCAATTTGCAAATACATACTTGAAGCATAATTTTCTCTTAGGGAAAATGTGATACAAATCTAAGTAGATACATAATTCTAGTAAAAGCAATGGTACTACAATTACAGAGTGTAGTATTACGTAGATATTATCGTACTTATGCTCGCTCCGCGGTTCTGTTTTAACGCGAGCCAGGGGAATGAAAGCATGGTGTGAACAATTAATCCCGGGAAGGACCGGGATAGAAGGGGCTGCTCCCGGCGACAATCACCGACAACGGCGCCCCAGGGACGAGAACAAGTTAAATCTTTGCCAAGTCCGCGTAACAACGGAACTGTAATTGCACTTAGCCTTTGTCTTTATTTACTGCACCCGTTGTTTGTTCGCCAATTCGTGACTATTTATCTATCTATACAGTGATAAAAGATAATTTTAGAAATGCGAGAGACATGTAAGGAGTAATAGAATACAAAACATTTAATTTTAACTTAAACTGTCTGTAATTTATGCGAGTAGCACAGATTAAAAAAAAACACTTTAACGAATTAAAACGCAAAAATATATTAGTCAAACTTATTTACAAATGTCATCGAAACATCGGGCTGTAATTTAATTAATTTGTAAGTTAAAGTTGAAATGAATTCAATTAATTATTTCGCGTTTTATACTGTTAACGTATGTTATTTAAATATGTTTGTCTGTAACTGCACTGAATATATTTTCTTTTGACGGATTTCACCAATATAATAAAATTTGCCACAATAGATATATAACTGGGTCATGTTTCATTAGTTATCTATTTATTCGTATAATACTAGGTGATAAAAATGCTAAAAATTTTATCTAGATACGGGTAAAGCTATTGTTCTAAAGCTTCTCGACAATTTCGGTGAACACTGCACATTTCAAAGAACAACCACCTCCGCTTATTGAGATAGGCTATGTACGGCTCTGGGTTCGAGTTCTGAGAAAATTTAAATAAAGAAATCTTATCATGTCCTTTGTAAAACTAGTTCTAACGTAACAGTACCTGACAATGTATGGCTAATAATCACTGGGTCGTGGATTCGATCCCTACCTAGTCCAATATGTTTCTAATCAATTTATAATTTTTTTTGAAACATATAGAACTTTGTCTGGAAATCTGGATATTTTTAATACCGTCTGGATTACGAACCACTTTTCAGATTGAAATTGGATCAATCTGACTTATCTGAGAACGATTGGTTTAATCGCGTTTGGGTTTCAGTCTTTGATGTGCTGAATATTCAAACCGGAAATTGGTTGACAGCGTATCGCGATGTTATGTGGCCGAGGTTTTTCACTTTCCATGAAGTGAAGCTCAATTTGTCTGTCATCCTAGAGGAAGGTAACATCTACAGATGACATTTGAAAACCTACCTATACACTTTTTATTCACTTCTTCTAGAAAATTAAGACATCAACATAACATATCATTCTATATTATTTTACAATCGATTGTTATTACCAATTTATTTTAAGCAAAAAAAAAAAAAATTACAAAACAAATTAGCTATTGGATTCGGTTGTAGCAAATAAAAGTACTTGTCACATTAGTTACGTAAAAATAATAACATTCATATCGTATTATTTCTATAGACGATTCTATTGTCTCCACAATGCCGATGTCTACCTACCCGGTTCTATGTAAACAGAGCCGCCCCGTCTCTATTTGTCCAACACGTTTGCACAAACCCAAATGTTCATGGAAATAATTCTCTATTTGTCTACATTCATTCACCAATCCCAGCAGGGATCTCTCCATAATAGTCCAAGACCAGACGTAACCAATCAACGCCTACGTATCGAAAGAATAAGATAAAATTCGAAAAATATATTGGGTGTTGAAAACCACTTTTTTATGTCGCGCTTTTATTTAGCGCAGCGTGATCTCGCAAACTTCGGAAGCGAACAGTAGGGAATAATTATTGTTTACTAATTACAGTTCAAGCTTGAAAATTATCGAAGTTGGTAATTTCTTTTGTTAATATTGTTGTTTGGCTATAATAATGGTTGTCGTAAATCGTTCTCGGTTCTGACAAGCTGTGTGGTAGGCAAGTCGATTAAGAGAGTGATCATAGTTTTACAAACAGGAATGTCCGATATAATATTAATTAGATTGTCTACTTTATGATTTTGACGGGTTTCTCGGTTTAACGATGGGCTATAGGTTCAATCCTTACCGGGTATAATAGGCTTGGTGAAGAAGCTGTGAATTTTATCTCGTTTCGGCGTCTGTATATTACCGACAACATGTACTTAATTTAGACGTTACATAACTTTTTAGTAAGAGTTAGAGTATTTTACCTTCCATTCAATGATCCTTGTGCTCATCTTTCCTCTTATGTTATGTGAATTAAACTATATATGTATGTAATTTAGAATTGTATTAAAAAAATAACAGAATAAAAAAGGTAAGGTCCTATCAATTTCAGCGTATAGAAAACAATGTTATTTTAGGGGGGGGGGGGGGGGGGGGGAAAAAAAAAAAAAAAAAAAAAACAAAAGGGGGAAAAAACCCCAAATTTTTTTAAAAAATTTTTGGAAGGGGTTTTTTTTCCCCCGCCCCCCCTGGGGGGGTTTTGGGCGGCGGCCGGGGTCAGGGGGAGTCTCCGTTATTTTAGTTTTCTATAATACTAATATACCAAAATACTTATACTAAAATACCCGCTAATTTTGAAATAAAATTTACCTACTCTTTATATATTCAATATAATATGTTCTTCGCTTTTATTCTTTCTAATCAAGTTGTTTCCTTTCCTTTCTTTATATCCCGCGTTAAAGCTTTGTAATAACGAATCGCGCCCCACCGACAGAATATTGACAGTAAATAAACAGATAAACAAAATCTTTTCAACTTCAGATTCCCGAAGAATCTTCGTCAGATTGTACGAGATGTCAAAACAAGATTGTTCCCACTTACTCGTATCTAGTACATAATATCTAACGCATGTTATCGCCGTGATAACAGATAGTGGCCGCACCTCGTCCATCAAAAGCGCATTACAAGCGTTTACAAGGAGGTATCGGGCGATACGTGTATTCGTTCAAAGGTACCGCTATCGTGCCGGGTCGCGATAATTCGTGCATTACTCAAAGCAGGATTTCGGACGGTAGACCGACAAAGCGTAACCACAGATAACCGTGCGATTAATTGTTTCCCCCCCAAATCGTTGTTCGACAAGCAATCGATACAAGTACACGTGTAATCCGAGATGTTTATTATTTTTCAATTTGCGACTCCATAATTGTTAATGCTGGATTTCACGAATAAATTGCGTTATCGTAATTACGTTATAACTAGTATCATCGAGTGGGTAGTTCGGTGAAGTATTTGCATTACGTTGTATATACTTAAGAACAGGAAAATAGTAGTAGAAAAGTTTTTAGTTATTGTTTAATAGCCTAGACGTGTTTAAAATGTATATCATATTATTTCTAAGATATTACAAACCTATTTAGGTAGTTTTAAAACACGGGCGAGACTTGAACCTTGTGGATGCCGACAACATTCGGTGTTGCTATGATGTCCTAACGTCATCATTGAATTTCATCACGCGCAATGTTATTTAAACCTATACATTTAAGTATTTCAATTTCATCAATTTAAATAGACTTCAATTGATATACCTACCTTATAACAATATGTGAAAAATTAAAGTTTTCCATAAATTTACATTTAAAGAAATCTTATATGATATATATATAATGCCACAGACTTATGCTTTGATAAATCGAATAACTATATAAATGACGAGGTCAAAACTACTTGCCAAGGCACTTTTGCCTAGTAACATCCTAATAACGTACTGAGGAAAATGTCAAACACTTTCTTTAGATTTAAAAATTAGACCGATGTTCAAAATAAACGTTTTTTTATTTATTTTGCTGGTAAATAAACATCGAGGTAGCGAGTTACGTCATCAGTAATTAGGTTGATAAATATATACAATTTTACTTTTTATTTCTTAGTAGGTACTAAGTATATTTAAAATAAAGTAACAAAAATGAGAATATAAAAAAAATGAACACATTCCATTTCTACCAATTGACGAGCGTGATTCAAAATGCAATGCATTTATTCAAAACGAATAATAGCGGTTGAGATGAATTCTAGGACCTTTTTATCTCGAAGAGTGTATTTGCGTATGATAAGAGGGAAAAGTTCTATCCGCCCTGGTCCGCCGCGCCCGCCCGCGCTGTTTGCCGCTAACAAATATTTATATGCATCACTTGCTATTTTTCATTTGGAGATGAAAATTTAAACCTAAAAATATATTCGTGAAAATAAAGTACCGTTTTCCTGAATGGGCATTCATATTTCTGTGTCCGTTTCACCGATTGAGTTTATTTACAGGCAATTAGTTGATACGAGTTTTATGCCATGGCCGACCGGAAACAATCTCTTGCGCTTTACGCAAAGCTAGCTACAACACTTTTAACCATTTAGTTATAGATGTAACAAAGCCTTGGTATCAATTTATATTTTAAAACAGCAATTACTGTGCCACTTATATATTAGTGTTTAAAGTAAAGTAAGCAAAATTTTTATTAACAAAAAAAAAAGAGGGGTTGTTGTTTTAAGTTAAATAAATTGCATATATTTCATGAAATTGAAAGGTATGAATCGAAAAAAACAAATTGGACGTGCATAAATTAATTTAATTTTACTGTAAAAAAAGATCCCGTTTCAATTGGATTAATTTTTATTTGTATTAAGTAAATTATAGTTACAGGTAACAGATTTTAGATGTATTTTATAAAGCCTAGGAAACTCCGCAGGGAGTATCTTTAGTTTACGGAGTGCTCGCCCAGACATCACGAGACGTTTACCCAAAAAATTAACAACCACTATCAAACACATCTTCTATAGATAGGGCGGGCTTGTATTTGATCACTTCTTTGTTTGCATCCCTAACAGGAAATTTATTTTAGTTATAATTTTCTGTCATTTCACTATACACTAAAGAGTTATAGCTGAACGTATGTGTAATTGTGTATACATTGAGGTTCTTTGTTGTATTATAACTTACGAGTGGGCTTAATTTGATTTATGATACTGTCATTTGTTTTTCAATTTGTTATCATTAGACGTCAATGTTGTTTAAAGTGAAAATAATTGTAATCCTCGAAGTATGTACTAGGTATATAATAATAAAAAAAATAAATATGTAAGGAGAGTAGGTTAGTATAATATGGTTTTTCTTACTATTACTATACAACGCACAAAGACTCTTTTAAAACTCTTTTAAAGTGACGTCTAATGATCCAATAACGACTAACGTTATTTATCCTAATTACGATTTATAATTTGTCCCGTCCGCTAGTTATTCTGTCATAACTCCGAGGAAACTCACTTGCCCTCGGTCTAAAAATATTGTTTTGAGTGGCATTATGCAAGAGCGCTATTAAATTCCACGCTGTTTCTGTCGCATGTGACAAACATAATTTATGAAGTTCCTAATACCGAGATAAGGAATATTTACACACTCCGAGTACACAAGCAGACGCCTCAACTCAGTCTTAGTTTGTGTCAACAGATCTACGTATCTTGGTGATTTTACACGTTGAGAAATCTACAACACAGATAAAAAATGTAAATACAAATTACCATTTTCCTCACAATGCTCGAAATGTGACTTTTCCATTTTTCGGGATTAGGCACGTAGGTCTTAAGGCTTCATCAAACAGTGACGTCATTAACCGCGACAATAAAATGTGGATTAGGAAAGATAGACGTAGGTATCCAAAATTGATTAAGCTAGAATTGCGAATAATGCAAAACATTATTGTGCAATAAAAATTAAAATGTTAGAACAAATAATGATTCATAACTTGTCCAAAGTTTTGTTTATAATAATTATAATTTTATTAGTAATAAACATTAATCAGGGCCACAATGACAATACGTTAATAATGAAATAATTTATTATGTCTTGTCTAGATTATTGTTATTCATGATAATATGCATAGGTTTAGAAGAAATTACATAAAGAAATGGTAAATATCCAAGATACAGACTTAGTTGTCTGTAAATTAGAATATTTCAGTTGTTAGACCTTTGATGCTACTATAAGAAATAAGACAAAGACAACAACATAAGTTTAAAAAGTCAATAGATTATAAAATAACAAAAAGACAATTTGATGTCACATTCTTATTATTTAAGATGTTATAAAAAATATCATAATCACAGTCAATGGAAATAAACTGTGTACTAGAGTATAATGTCTCCGGTGTGGTCCACGATAATCCCACACTAAGTCTTCGGACGCGGTGCCTCTGTTCTATGGGATCCACCTTATCAGCCTCGTTTCAGCTGGCTAAATAAAACGACATTTTATGTATCTTGGGTTAAATATTTCATATAGAATATAAATTGCGTTGATGTTGTTGTTCTATTAGTAAAAAAAGAGCAAAGTCAGTATTTTGTTTTTCAAGTGGGTATCATTAATGATAATGTTGTGTAAATATATATTGCATACAAATACAATATCAATTTAATTATTCGTACTGTTTACTATTTTGCCATGTGCCTAATATCCAAAGCCAAAATGGGTCGACTTCGCATCTTGTTTATATGTTATATGACTGGGGTATTACATCATCCATCAAGACAACCCCATGCTTGTTTGTTCTCTTTCTTTAAAAATACTATAGGTTTTAAATTATCGTTGAATTTAGTATTTGAAACGTAAAGAACTAACAAAGACATTTTGTTTCAGGAAAAACACGAACAAAAGACAAATACAGAGTGGTATACAGCGACCATCAGCGACTAGAGTTAGAGAAAGAGTTCCACTACAGCCGCTACATCACAATCAGGCGAAAGGCCGAACTTGCAGTTAGCCTGGGGCTTTCTGAAAGACAGGTAACTAAGCAATGACCTATCCAAGAAACACTGCCATGTTATAGATTTTTGTGCGTAGTTCGTCGAATAGTTATTTTAGCACTATATTTATTTTTGTAAGCAACCTCCACAGCTTAACAAAAAGATTATAGCCCACGACATCGTCCGCGTCCCGTTTTGCGAGTTAAAGTTAGGCATATGTTGTCCAGGACATTGTTGTAGATTATTTAAAGAAGAATCATTATTTCATACATCTTTTTAGTTTTTTAAACCGTTATCAGCAGCGCACGCAACAGAAATCTCTAAAAATAAATAATTTACCCCACTTTTCCACATTTCCCACTGTTTCTCATATTGGCCGCAGCTTAATGTTTTATAGCCTAAACCCTTCCTCGATAAATAGTCCTATATAAATAATCAACGCCAAAATAAATGTTTAATTCATAGTATTTGTGACATTAGGTCGTTCAAATAACCTTATAATATTCGTATAGATATACAAATATACGTACTAAGTTTTAAAAGCTAAATAACCAACTTCTTCTAAGTCGATACAATACAATCACTCTTATATAATTAGAAATAATTGACACTATATTCCTAAATAGTTGTTCATAGGATAAAGATTAGATATATACATATTGTTTGTTCTATCGCTATTTAACTGTAATCTACCTACTATAGGATTCAAATACATATTAATCTGGCTTACAAATAACCGATTATAATAATAGGAAACGAATTAGCATATTTATCGTATATTAAGTTGAATTATATATACTATATACAAACCCAAATTGCGATGCAAATGTTAGTACTAAAAAAACTACATCTTATAGGCGTTTCATGTTTAGGCATACGAGGGTATAAACATTAAGAGTACGACGCAAGTAATAAAATATAATTTTTAAAATATCAACTTTGACGTATCGTTTAAATTGTTTTTTACAGGGACATTTCACATACAATTGTTTTGATAATAATAAAAATCGGTTTTAATGATTTATTATGAAGAACTGTCCGTTGTTAAAAGTGGCAGAAGAATATTTAAACTTATTTAACAATTATTATCAATAACATAATGTATATTTACATGAAGTGTTTTATGTAATAGACCTGGTCTTTTATATATTGGGAGGTAATATAGCGCAGCCCTCTAAAACCTTATGTTATCTTACGACAATTGATCCGGGCGTGAGACTTAATTGTCGTAAGGCCTTATAATATTTAGTTTAGTTAGAAAGTCTGTAACTTTTCTTAGTAATTTTTCAAATAGACAAATATAATAAAACTTCCATTTTGCAGGTCAAAATATGGTTCCAAAACCGAAGGGCCAAAGAGCGTAAACAGGTGAAGAAGCGAGAGGAAGTGGTGATGAAGGAGAAAGGTGATCACGCGTCGCTCCAGCACGCACAATTGCACCACGCCACTATGCTGCATCACCAGCAGATGATGAACGGCATGATGCACCACCACCACTACCACCAGGGAGTTCTTCAAGGTGTGCCAGAACCGCTAGTGCCTAGCGTCGCACCGGTGCCTCTCCTGTGACCGCAAAACCAAGACTTCGGTGTATACGACACCTACCAGTGACAATTGACCAGTGACTTGTGAATTACCCCTTCGGGTTGACGATTTTGTGCTTTAAATATTCCTTATAAAGTTGTGATAATGTAGTGCAATATTCTCACGGGTTTGAGACAGTGTTGAAACACTTCGAAACATTAACTCGTGAGGGAGCATTGGTAATGGACTTTAACTCTCTGATGCTTAGACTTAATTCGTTAGTTCCGACCCGTTTCCTCACTTCAGTAGCTCATTTCACGAATTAACGAAGGAGCCTCCGCCTCAGAGCTGGACCTTCACAGCCTTTTTATAGCTATTTAACTGTTAGTATGTGCCTGTAATACGGTCACGCCTTAAGCCATCTTACGGCCTGTTGCTGTTACGATTAGCGTTAGTATAATTTAAAAGAATTTCGTCATTGTACATATAGATAACTATATTTTTTATATTATTATAATACTTAAGTATTACTTGATTTTAGTGACCTTTTTTACTTCCCAGTGTAGCCTTTGCGACTTAAACTCCGTTCAACAAAACTAAAAACAATGTCTGTGTAATCTGGTTCTTAATTAACATAATTTTAAATTGAAAAGCTTTTAAGAATCTCTTTAAAGTCTTGATAAAATCATAAAACGTGTTCGTAAAGTTTATGGCAGTTTAATAGCACCGCGGCTACGGGAAGTATTTTTACGTTGAATGAGATTATTCCTAGTTTTAACTATTTGTAAATAATAGAATAAGACGTAACTGTACTTTTATCTCATTTAATACGTTGGGATTCATATAATTATAATTAATTGATTACAATAATTACAAACAGCGGATATTAATTTACATTTGCTTAGCCGTCGGTTAAGTTGTAACATGTATTTCTTATTTAAATAATTTATTCTTCAGTCAATTTGATGTCAATATTTGTCGTTTCGTTTTAGTGGACTGCTTTGAATTTTTCTGGTGCTATCATTAATTATGGTACTTGTATTTCGAAATAGTATAAGAGGAAAATCGTGTTAATTTTCACATAATATGTATTAATGTACATCTAGCGTAATAAGCTTGTAAACGAGTATTGTTTGTAAACACCGAATTGTTAGTGAAGCACCGACACGAAACACATTTGATAAACTAAATAAATTCATGTTAATCTATATCTATAGCTCGTTCTTTTTTATCCCCTATCCTTTATAAGCCACAATACGATGAATTTAACAATAACTAATAACGCATTAAATAAACTCAAATTGAATAACCCACATACAATTCATATGTATATAACTACAGTACAACTGTTTTCAAGTAGGTACTCCAATCTACCTCCCTTTAAAGTATATTAGAAGTACATTAGTGTTGCAGCCGGCAAGAGAGACATTAAAAATGTGTGTGAACCATAACCGTAAGTCCATCTTTCTATCTATCTATCTAGTGCCTATTTACCGGTGCCTAGAACAGTCCTTTTCTCAAATAATGCGAGGAAATGGAAACTAAATAGTACGATTCAGAACGTTAAACCAATAAAGAAGTTAAAGAACAACTACCTAATAGCACTAGGTTTTTACGCGCCAAAGTATTTTTTTATATAAATAGTTTTCTATTCTCAAGCCAGTTCGAAATTTAAATTAAACCTTTGATAAGTTACGTTTTTGGTCGCCATGTTGCGGAGTAGAAGATCGTTCCATTTTTAAATTACTCTACATATAATGTTATTACATATTATTTGGCCGTAAACACGACAAATATGGATTTTCAATAACACTGTTGCCAGTCGCCAGTCGCAAGTATCTACTACCTATCAGACACAGAACATTACTATCAGAATTCAAACACTATGGCCGACGAAGTCAGAGCAGAGTATATTACATGTATCTTTGTTAGAACAGATCTCCGCATTGCAAGTACGAAAGAGATAGATACATCTTATGTAGATAAACCCATCCCTTTTAATTCGATCGTAGCAAATCTATGGTAACTCCATAACAGCTACCTACATAATGATATCATTCTAAGAAAAAACATTGTATTAAAAATCTTTATTTCTCAATTAATGGGTGATATAAATAAATGGAAATAATTATTTTCGTGTCATTTGTTTTACGATTTTTACGAAATTTCCACTCAACATTTTTAATAAATAATTAATTTGGCTTCCAAGTCACGTTTAGGTATTTCAAACTGCATCCTATTAAAATCTGCATCGATTTGCAATTAACGACTGATTGATGGTAGTCGTGACTTAAACAATGGTTAGACGTTGAATTAATTGAATTTTTCGTTATTTATCGTTATTAATTTTTAAATATTTAAAAGGGTTTTACACAATACACAGGTGTTTTTCCACGTATTGTAATGTAGGTACATAACGTTACATTACTATACATTAAAAAATATTTAAAATTTAAAGCTAGTTTTATTTTTATTACCTTCTAAAAAAGTTATCTAGCTATAGGAAAAAGATATTGCGTCATTGTGTAAAGTAGGTATATTGTCAGTGCCCAAAACTTTCACGAAAGTCATTTCACCATGTCTAAATGGAAAAATCTCAAAGTTTTCCCTACAGTAGACGTTTTGACTTATAAAAAAAAATGCGTTCCATAGATAAATTTTTATTTAAGGAAAACATTTGGTTAGACTTAGCTCGCTCGACTGAAGCTATTATATGTTATATTTCTCGACAGTGTCTAAGCTTATTTATATGAACAATGTAATTAATCGAGCGTGGAAACACAGAAGTCCCAGCAGAGGAAGGTGGAAACAAAGGAATGCTGCTAAACGCTGTGTAAACCCATGCTTATTGAGGGCATCCCGAGATCTTCAAAGCCGCCGCGCTGCTCGCCCGCCGAACTATCAATGACTTCCCGTACAACTATGCTAATTGTAATAATGACTCACTTTAAATATTATCCTGGCTCATTCATGCTCTATGCATATGTCAATAGTTCATGCTACTCAGAGGAGGTAATAAATAATTTTATTGTGCGATGTAAACCAATACTGTTCGTCGAACGTTGGTTCACTGTGACATTTAGGAGGCGCTTAGGAGACTATATTTCTAGCTTTACTCTTGTTATGAAGAAACAAAAAAAACAAAGATTTTTTAAGTAATAGAGACAGCTAGCGTGAAGGCCCATCGAATTCTTATATCGCTTTAAAAACTTTTCATTTCTATGTATCAATACAGTAAAAAAATATTTCCATTAAAGTTTGAATAGGTATGTTTTCATTGCATCATTATGGTGGGAGTGACAATTGCTGCAATATTTATATGAAATGACTAAATTCGTATAACAATATTATAACCAAAATATTACTACCTACTAGTTTACATACATTTACATAATTGTCTGTCCGTCTAATATAAATATGCAAGACTACTAAACCGATGGGCATTCGTGAATTCGATCCTTGTTGGGTCTATTTCTAATCAATTTACATATGTTCAATGTTCAGTTTCAATATAAACCGACAAATTGTCTACAAATATGTACAAAATTTCCCCCCGACGCGTGTGATACCGCCAGGTCGGTACTATATACTCGAATGAGTGACAATTTTATCATACCTACCTAATATATATTAGATCACTCATTATAGTTTATCCAACGCGAAAGTGAAAGTGAAGTGGCACTTTATTAGCCTATAAGGAGAATGTTGCATCAATTTTGTCGCATCACAATGGCTTCCCAGCGAATCAGTTTGCGGCGAGTGGGGACCGACCACCGCGGCCGCTGTAACGATCACAGCGACCCGGCGTAGAACAAACACGTATGTTTACTTGCCTTGCTCTGTTTGCTGTTTGACAGCAGTCTTACAGGTCGTTAACACGTCAAGCCTAACTGGCGGACAGTGTCAACACGACAGCACTAACCTTTTAATTAAATCATCGGCCACGTCATTACGGGATCATGACAAACAGGACAGTAGGTGTTAGGAGTTATGACAATGCGCCGGATATTTGAAGAGTGATGCATCCGTGCTTTGTTAATTCATTTGTGCCTCGAAATTCCTTGGAAATTACTGCTGCCGTAAAAATAGGATTATTTATTACACATACACAACATACAGCTTACAAATCCTTAGTAGGTACAAAAATACTTACACGGAACACCTACCTAACACAAGACGTGTTAAACCCTTTTCTATAAAAGCAATCAGTGCAATAAATACAGAAGTGTGTTTGCTCCATAATTTTACACACACAGTAGGCAGATGAAATTAATATCGCTCACGAATGCGTCAACTATGTTTCTCTATTTGTATAATTTGATAATTATATTTTACTTTTTTTTGACATTGTTTCTAATACCTACAAATAATAAAAATATACGTGTCAAAATTATTAGTAAAGTATGTTTGCGTAGCAAAAGGCCTTTCCTATCTCTCATATTATACAAATAGAATTTCAAGAATGAAGAAGGAGGATATGTATTTAATCAAAGAAGTGCCAGCCGATAGCAACAAGATGCTAGTCTTATAATATAAATCATCAGCATAATATAAGCACCTATTATTATGATGCCCTGACAACCTATTTTGTCTGCGGACGTTCTATAATATACCTATATTATGAAACTACAAACAAATACACGCATATTTCTATCTGTAACCATGCTCTGATCCACCGCTTCGCGATCCCCATAGAATTATTTCTCCGATTAAAAATATAGGCAAAGAATCGTGAAAAAATCAAAATATTATTATGGAAATTACACTTCGAAAAGTACCTTTCGCACAGTGAAAGATAAAACAACATCAGATAATAATTAATTCTTATCGTGTGGATACTATTTAGCGGGCGGGCTTAATCCACATGAATTGATATCTTGATAAACTCCGGATTATCGGCAAACATGAAAGCGGCTAAATGAATTTTTAATCCCGCTTTTCCTTCGCGTCCATACCATATCTTGATTACGTGCCACAAGCCTGTGATATCACCGTGCACATACGACGTTCGTAAACTTTAAAAATCAACATCTATAATATTTTAC